ATTTCTTCTTTCTCTAACTCCTGTTGCCAAAAATCCGCAAATTCTTTAGAAAGGAAGTTCGCCAAGTTATCTCCTTCACTTTCAGGCACCGCTCGTAGTCTTAAATTTCTATCTCTTCTCTGCAATTCAAGCATAGACAGGGCCAATGTATGATCTTCTAACTTTTTGCAAACTGGTACAATTTTTTCCTGTGTAGCATCCGCCGAGACTTTAGCCTCATCAGCAGAGACTTTGGCTTCTTCTGCGATTTTACGTATATTGGCAGAGTCCTCTAATATTTTATTAATAGATTCTGTATTAGATGTCACCCTTTTCCCTAATTCATTCACACTTTGTGTATTCTGATCAAGTTTAATTGAGAGTTCTGTCAATTTTCTGCTATTTTCCACCCCCTGCTTTGTCAAAGATTCCAAAGACTCATTTATTTTAACCAAAGCTTGTGTTACAGGATCTGATGACATTATTGTTCTTGTCTGACCAGTTGCAGCTGGTGCCACTGGGATGCCTGGGACTGAAACTCTTCGCTGTGAAGATTTTACTTTGTATTGTCTCCCAGACCTGGTTGTTGTCTCTTCTGGTGCACCACTCATGCCTAGCCAAGGTCACTCTCACAGCTGTTAGTTGTTTTTCAAGGGAAATTTCCACTGCCTTAGTAGTTACAATCCAATTTGCAACAATTATCAAAGTGCCCTCTAGGGGAAGAAAGTTTCCAAAACTAAACAAAATGTCTTACAGCCAAAAATTCCCCTGAGGTTTCCCAATAGTCAATTGTAACAGTTCTTATATTTTCAGAGTTCAACAAACCTGTAATTTAGTATCTCTCCTGAGCTGAGTAGTTTAAAACAATGTAACAATCCAAGTGACAGTTCACTGACAGTTCTCTCTCTCCAGGTTCCTTTGCCCCGGCAGTCCGTTTCAGGGGTGTTTGACACAGTGGTGAAAAGTTTTTAAAGTCCTTTTCTGGCAGGTTCTAATCACAGTTTCCTCCCACTTTTGCTCCTGCCTACCAAAAGGGGGGAAGTTCACAGTTTATGTCTGGTTCTCTTAGCTCTTTGCGATCTCTCAATGGTTACAGCTTTTAATCCTTCTTTGCTTTATCCTTATGCAGTCCGGGAAAGGCTGACTTCCTTACTTTAAGCCAATCCCGTTTTCAGCCAAATTTCAAAAAGATAGTTGTAAATCCCAATTAGGTCTCAGTCTTACTCACGAGTTTTACTTTATAATCCAATTTTCAGGAAGGAATCGGCGCTCTCCGGCTATGGCGATGCGGCTTCGCTTCACAAGCTGGGTAGCGGCTCTCAGCACCGCTTCTCCCCGCTGCCGTTCCGGAGCCTTTAAAAAGGCTCCCTTGCGATTTCGGGGGCGCGATGGTGCCCACCGAGCCTCCTTGTTCACAGGCTTCCGCGCCTGTAATTTTTGAGGGTCCCCGCTTCGCCGTAGCGACAGGACCCGAACTTGTAAAGCAGACCCCCTCCGGAGCTCGGAGGGAAATCCGCCATTAACCGATGGCGCCGACCGGAAGTCGGAGATGCCCCATTTTAAGTCTTCTACTCCAGCTCAGCCAGCTCAGCAAAGGGATGTTATGGATGGGAGAGCAGAGGACAGGGCAGGTGGAGACTTATCCCTGTTCCAAACTCAGTTCAGCTTGGTCATGTGATCTAGCAACTGAAAGGAAGTTATGCTGGTGAAAAGGGTCATGTAAGTCAAATTCTTTTTTAAAGGCTTGCTTTCCCTCTGCCAGGCTTGGGCTGGCTCAACCAGCAGTGACCCCACTCTTGAGTGGAGTTTGGAATAGGGGTAAGTTACACCAGCATAATTTACCCCTGTGTATATTGGCTTCCTATAATTTAAATTGCTGTGTTAGTTAGGGTTGCCATACGTCTGGAATTTCTCAGTCATTGCCCGGTTTCTGGGCAGGAATTGCTTTAATGTCTGGGAAAATCTGGCCGTATGGCAAGCTCAACAACTTTTGTGTCCAGATGTTCACTTTTTGAAATATGGCAACCCTAGAGTTAGTGAGATACCACCCATTCATTGTATATAAGTAGGGTAGAGTGGATGTTAGTTAGTGGTCACTACACGTTAGTGGTCACTACACATCTCTGTGGGTTGTGGCATACCGTACTGATATTCTGAATAGCTGAATCACAACAGAAGAGGCTAGTTGCTCCTATTCCGTTTTTCTTTTGCAGCTTATTTTGAACCTGTAAGTTACTTCTACTTCAAAAGAAATGATTGATCAAGTGATGATGTATGGGCCAGGCTCCGTAATGGCTCTGATAAAAACTGATCTCTTATTTTCTGAATGAGCAGTAAAACAGGAACTTTATTTTTATCAGTCTGTACAGAAAGCTGAGGGCAGTCTTGAGGTCCACATTGCTGAGCCAAGTGAATCTTCTCCAGAGCCCACTTTTAACCCAACTCCTCAGGAAACTGTGAAAATGGTAAATATGAGTATATGCCTTTTGGGGGCAACGTTTATTTCTGCATTCTGATCTGAGAGCAGTGATTTTGGAATGGGCATCTTCATAAGATAATCTGTACAGACAAATAGCGACATGATCTGCTAATTTTGTTTTGTTTTTAAAAGAAGAAATGGGGAGGGGAAATGGATGAAGCACTTGAAGGCATTCTGAGCCTTGGGAGCAAGGGAAGAGCCAAGAACCTGAAAATGTCTGAATGGGAAACACGTCCAGTATGGTGGGAATGACAGCAGAGTATTTGGAGGACCGGAGCCAAAATTATGGCTTGCTTACATTTGCTATGAGACACTAGCTCTGTTCAGATGCTCTGCTCCTTTAGGTGATTCCAGTTATGTGAGGAGGGAGGTCAGGGAGCTGCTGCCTGGCTCTGCACATTCTGCTTCACTCTTTGCACTCATCCCTTCCATACCTTGAGGACTGAACTTGTGCAACATTGAGCATTCTCCACTGTGCAATTTCTACTCATATACAAGCCCTAGAAGATCCAAGTTCTAAATAGCACAGGGAGTCTCCATGAGAGGGTGGGGGACTAGGGAGCACCCCCCTTCCACTCCCTCACATTGTTAGAATCCTAGTGTGGGGAAATGCTTCAGTTTTGCTACCCAGACCAAACAATCTGTGCATATCTCTATTCCCATACAGCACTGTAATAATGTCCCTCAAGTAACCTAAGTTACTCTATTCTCTGTATTAATATATAGCTCATCTTCTAGTTGCCCTGGGCACTGAAAAGTCAACTGTTTGCACTATTATCAGAATCTTGAAACTAGCTTTCAGGCTTTTATGTGTTGCCTGAAAATGGTACAAATGGCATTTCTTGATCTCCCTTTTCGCAGGACGACGTTACCAGCTCTGTTTCAGAGCTATGTATTCAGCCAAATCCAGAGGTGCTAAGTGCAGAAGATGAACGAAGAAAATGGGAGGAAGGCCATATTGACTATCTGGGGAAAGATGCTTTTGAAAACATTAAAAAGAAGTTAGATTCCTTTTTATTATAGATCTTGCTCGTATACGCTTACAGGGACCGACTGCTGTTTAAATTTACAACATCTGTGGAATCTCCAGGGCCCTTTCTGTTTTGCAGGGGGGAATGCAAACAAAAATAGCACCATGAAAATGGTTGTGCTTGCTAAATGCACCTGTGTATGCATTGTGACAGTATGCATTGCTTCCAGAGAATGAAACACAATGGGCTTATAAAACTGCCTTACATGAGTCAGAACATTGGGTCAGCTTAGCCAGTACTGATTATTCTGCCTGGCAGCATCTTCTAGGCTTGTATAGTAAAGCTACTTGAGAAATGCTTAACTGAAAATGCCAGGGGACCTTTCGTCTATATTTTTTGTGTGGTTTTTGGTGGGACAATCCACAGTGCCTAGTTGCACAGTCTACCGGTACTGCAGCTATTTAATCTTCATTCATTTTTGCAACTCAGTGTGTTTTGTCGGACCAATGTTGTTTGCTTTTGGATTTATTTACTTTTGTTTTGGACCAACTTCTATAGATAAGCATGATAAAGACTTTGGAATCCATTAGATCTCTCTCTCTCTCTCTCTCTCTCTCTCTCTCTCTCTCTCTCTCTCTCTCCCTCCCTCCCTCCCTCCCCCTCTCTCTCCCTCCCCCCCTTTCTCTTTCTCTCATGCAGATGGGTGCTGTACACTCTGCTAAAAACAACCCCCTGTTTTTATTACTGATCTATAGTGCCTCATGAAATATTCTCACCTTCATCTGAGAGCATGAAAAATGGCTTTATACTAATGAACCAAATATGCATCCTTTTTGATTCTACGTTTTGGCAGGTACAAATATTGGAAATAAAAAGTCCAAAGACTTCTAAGGCAGGACTGATGTACACACAGCGGACTCTGTGTTTTAACACCCATCCATAGAGGATTCCTGTGGGTTCAGTAAACTTGTCTTTCTCCCTTCCCTCTGCCCTCAGGGCTGAGGAACTAGTGGCCCTCCAGACATTGTTGGACTCAAAATCCCATCAGCCCCAGCCAGCCCCAGATGATCAGGAATGATGGGCATTGTAGTATAGCAACTTCTGGAGAGCCACTGGTTCCCCACTCCTGATTTACATGTGGTGTGCTCTCAAGCAGTACAGTAGATGGCTAAGGCGGTCTCTGTATACTTTCTGTATCCCCATCCAGTCCTGCTTGTTGTAAGTTGGGCTTACTCTGAAGCATAAATTACCTCAAGATGCTAGGGTGGAACTGGAAGTGCTGGTCTCCTCCTAAGGCCTAGCATAGTGCCCATATGTGCAAATTTGTGGGGGGGGGGTGTGCGGCGGAATAGGGCTACATCGAGCCTATAGGAATCTTTAGTATATTCCATGATTTCATGGACCATGGCCATAGTTTTCTGTTTTTAGGAATTACCAGGATGTGTGTGTTTTGGGGAAAGAAGTTTCTTTTCTGTTTTTGGTTCTTGGGTAACTAAAAGTCTGTTTAATTTTTTTTCTGTTGAGAACAATTGAAGTACATCTTTCTTCAGAGCTTACCATAGCTTACAAGGTGAGGAGGTGGATAGTTTATTAGATGGTTGACACGTGGAATCAAACACCTTCTACAATGGTGCTAATATAGGACTTTTGTACTGCTTTATACCGTATTTTTCGCTCTATAAGACGCACCAGACCACATGATGCACCTAGCTTTTGGAGGAGGAAAACAAGAAAAAAAATTCTGAATCTCAGAAGCCAGAACAGCAAGAGGGATCACTGCGCAGTGAAAGCAGCAATCCCTCTTGCTGTTCTGGCTTCTGGGATAGCTGCGCAGCCTGCATTCGCTCCATAAGACGCACACACATTTCCCCTTTTTGGGAGGGAAAAAATGAGTCTTATATAGCAAAAAATACGGTAATTGCCTTGGAACTTGATGTACATAGGTACGTAGGCTTTGTACTAAGTCAGACATTTGGTTCATCCAGCTCAGCGTTGTCTAGAACTGACTGGTTCTCCAGGGTTTTAGATGGAGATATGCCCAGCCCTACTTGGAGACACTAGGAATTGAACCTGCAACCTTCTTCATGAAGTGCAGCCCTTATGTTCCCATGTATTTGGACAGCCCCAGGACAGAAGGCACTCAGTCTATTTATATGCACCTATCAATATTGTGTGAAAGTTTCAATATATTGAGGACAGTTAGGGAAAGAGTTTGCTAAACTTTAGGAAGCCGAATGCTGAATAACACTGGGGAACAAATTTTTGTTGCATTGACACCTGCAGTTGTTCTAACCTAATTTCGACGTGCTGATTTCATATCTGAAGTCTGTTTTGTTCTGTAAGCTCTAGTTATTTTTGCAATTCATGTTTTTCACTTTTCACCATAATCTTTGTTTTTCACAATGCAAGAATTCAATATTTTATTAAACACATAGCCAAAGTAGTACAATATGAGTATAAATGTAAGTGACTTATATAGCATTGAACCTGACATGTATAGCATTGAACCTGACATGTATAGCATTGAAGATGACATGTATATCTATGTACAGTTGGAGGTATGCAAAGAAAGTATTCCCTTGGGATACAGTCTACTTGAAGAAGCCATGGTCCAATCTGAAAAATACAAATATTTAGGTTACAAAACTACAAAAATTAAATTTGCAAAACAATATTTACCATGTGGTTAGGGTAGATCAACGTGTCAGTGTCCACTTATTCCCAGTGTAAATATGACATTATCGGCAAAAGTCGGAAATTGAAAGATAACTATGGCATGTACACGAAAATCTATTTCAGATTTGAAATCAGCATTGAAAGAACATATAAGAACAGTTGAAAAACCTCATGCAACAGAAAACGATTTTTTTTTGTTCCCCAGTGTAATTAGACTTTGTATCTAATCCTGCAAAGATCTGGTGCAGCCCTGGGGTTTCTTTGCCCATTTGATGCTCCTTGATCCAAATTTTAAGTATAGTACAGACAACACAAGCCAAGACAGTGAGAACGGAGGTCTCCCTGTATAATTTTAGCTGCTCCTTCTCAATTAAGGTTTGAGCAAAGCAGGGATGGAGAGACACTGAGGGGCTGCTGTTTTTAAGAAAACAAGCCAGTAACAAGGAAAAGTGGCACATATGGGTATAACACGGAAACTAACCAACAACAACAAAAACCTCCCACTTCCGATCCCCAGCTGCTTTATGAGAGAAAGCTAAGAATGTCTTGGCTTGTGTTGTCTGTACTAAGAACAGTGTTTCATTGCGAGAGGATTCTTTTTGCTAGCCCACTTTATATGAATGGGTATCACTTTCTTCATTGTCACACCAACAGAACGGGAAGGTCCCACAGCATGGCTGCAGCCATGGTTTCCACATATTGTTTCCAGAAGAGAGCTGCTGTGGGACAGGTGTGAGGGAGCTGCGATGCTCCTCCACAGCTCTGCCTATGTGCTTTAGGACTGTGTGGAACAAGGGCTCCATGTCCGGTGAAAGAGGCACGGCCTCTGATGGGTCTCTTGAGAGATCAAACAGCAGAGGAGGATCGTGATGTGTTACACCTTCTCCAGAACATGGGCACATCCTCTTTCCATAACAGGCTCCTGCACCTTCGGGGTTGAATATTGGTGTTGTGTAATGAACTTTCCATACTGTACCACCTGGAAGGGAAAGCAAAGCAAAAACACCATGATACAATAACTACGAAAGTGATGGAACATGACGTTCTCTGGAGATTCGGTTTAAATATAATAATTCAAATAGATTTTGTTGATTTGTTCTATGTACAAGGGGAGTCAAGAAAAGTAAGGAGGAAGGGGGTGGGGGAAAAGGGTTGAGTGTGAAAATGAGGGTGCAAAGGGAATTGCAAAAATAAAAGGAGGGAGTAGGAGGCATGGGAATGGGGGTGAAAATGAAACCAGGGACATCAAAATCTATGCAGAATAGGAGGGCATGTTGGCTTCATAATGTACTGGAGGCGAAAAGGGTGCTTAGTAGTTGCAAGTTTCCATCATCAAATGCATGAACTAAGATGATTTCATCTCATTATGTGGACTCCACAAACATGGATGGCATAATAAAAATCCTTATAAAATTATATTTGGCCTGGATAATTCTCTTTACAAGTTTCTAAATGAGCCACTAATGGGCAATATGATTATTTTAATTAACTATAACTGCAACTTGAGACTACTGCAAAAAAGAAAAAGTATACAACATTCTATAATTTGAGATGCATTAGAATAGTTTTCACAGATTTCTGCACCCTTCCTGTATTTTACTGTGAACATCCCTGTTTCATAGTGGGAAAGGACAAGTCCTAAACTGACTACTTGTGCTCTTCCTAAGTAGAGTTCCTTGATAACCGTTGCTGCAGGAGGGAACTGCTTTTGCCAACACAATCAGCAGTTTCTCACCCATATTTGTTACTTTGTAATTCTTTACTTTCTGGTTTTGTAAATAGAGAAATCCTGCTTTTTTTCTTTATTTTTGTAACTTTGTTCATTATCAAATAAACATTTTATATTCTTGATTTCTATATCTGTCTTTCATTATATTAATTAGTTTGGGAATTGTGTGTAGCATCTGTAGATGTTATTGTCAATGTGACTTGTAAGAGCTGGTTCTTTATTGGGAGAAATTTACAAGATGCAGTTTTTTAAGGGAAAAGCATTTGAGTGCTCTGGAAATCCTGTTAATGAATGTGTGTGTGTAGTATGAACTAGAGATGTGAAGACAGGAGAAGAATTGGAATATCCCCCACCCATTTTTTTCTTCAATTTTTCCATTCCACCCCCTCTGCCTTCATATCACATTTCCGTATAAAGCAGCCTTTGCTGTTTTAATCACATATTCACTTGCACCAGAGTTGTTGCACCAACTCTGATGTGATACATGCTAATTTTTGTACCTGACACAATACTGATTTTTTAAAAAAAAATCACAAACACATCAAATGTGAAGTGTGCCTGCTTGAACTTTTAGGCATTGGCAAAAAAAAATTGACTAAAATTCATGCTCGTTGGAAGAGTGAGGGCTATACAAATGTTGCAAAAGATGTAATACACTGCGGATATGATCAATGAGAGCCAGACAAGAGAAGCAAAGGTGGTGGGCTTTTAAAAATATATTTTGGGTGCCCTAGGCACTTTAACATGACCAAGGGAAAGTAATGAAATGATGTGGGTTTTTTGTTTCTTTTGTAATTTAAACCAAAAGGCTATCTTTCAAAAAACAAAGAATTAGACTGAAAGAATGCAGTTGTCTCATCTAAGGAACAGCATGGAACTAAGTAACTGAGTATCCTTTGTTGCATTTTACACACTGCTCAAATATCCCCACAGCACCTCCCTTCCCTTGTACTTTTCTTCACCATACCAGGAAAAACAAACCTTGGCTTGCCATCATCAACAAACCATTGATGCCGGTTTGTGCATAATGGCAACCTATCTGCTGGTTGGTTTCCTCCCATCATGCTAGTTCATTGTAAACTATAGCTTATTTTAAACCACAGTTCAATGCAGTGGTGGGGAACTCCTAGTCCATGGGCCTAATTAGAATAATCAGGCCTGGCAGACCCCCTCATTTGGCCCATGCCATACTGTCTTATCAGATATCCGTCATGGCATCAAACGCAAAAGAAGAGGAAATGTACTCATACATGAACTCCTGATCCTTTGCAGCTGTGGGCTGAATTCTTTTTTTAATTCATGCCAGGGCTGCAAAGGAAGAATTGGGTGTACACTCTGAAGCAGCCCATGGAGAGCTGTCCACTTCTCATTTAATGCTACATGCAAAGTAGCTTAATGGCCATGGGTTGAATAAACTTGTAATTCATCTCTGGATTATCTCTTTCAACACTTAGATGGATTGCTGTAGGAAAGAAGCCCTATAACATGGCGCAGTATCCAGCCTGTAAATTTCCAAAGAGCTCAGCTCAGTAGGGGTCTGCATAATCTCACCTTCACACTGGGAAGCTGGTAGTTTATTTTAGGTGCCTAGCAATTCAGTCAACATAACAGCTAAAAAACGGCATAGATAGGACCAAGCTCCTTTAGCTCCATCGCTCTCAATGAAAATTAATCTGCTTAAATCCAAGTTCTCCGCATTAGCAGTGTGGAAGATTGGTTTGTTTATAAGGTTAGAGCTGATGCTTGTAGGTGTAACTGAGTTCATAGTTTGGTGCACTGAAGTCCCATTCCAATGGGGTTTAACTATGATTAAATTATGTACATGATTTAAAAATGTGACCACTTCTTTCTGGATTGAGAGGAACATGCAGAATTCACGACCATGGGCAGAATTATTTCCGCTACAAATGTAAGATTCTGCCTTATACCAAATCAGATGAATGGTCCATCTAGTTCAGTTTTTGTCTGATAAGCCATGGTTTTGTCTGATCATCTTCAAGTCAACTTGGTTCTTTAAGCAAACCATTACTTACTACACATGAACTAGGCCAGTAAGAAGGGAGTTCTATAAAAGTCATCGGAGTCTACAATTTATTTGTTTAAATAAGTGCATCTTCATTATCACTTCATTATTATTATTATTTTTGGAGATCTATCGGGATCACACGATCAACCAGTAGATCACGATCGACCGGTTGGACATCACTGTTCTAGTGTGTTGAAAAGTGGCTCAGAATTTGGTGGAAAAGGACTGGTTTCAGAAGGATGATGTGAGGTCAAAAAGCAAGGGAGGATTGTGGTGAATTACTCGCTCTCCAGAACACGGACACAGTCTTCTTCCATAACAAGCACCACCCCCCCCCGGTGAAATTTTGGAGTCACATAATAGGCCTTCCAGAGAGCACCACCTTAGAGAAAAGAAACTAAAGATATTCAGTTTCTAGTTGATGAATATGTGGTCCTCCAAACACTTTTTGGAATTCTCACTGGAATGGATGTCAAATTTGTTCACGATAGTTAAACCACTTGGTTCTTCCAACAGAAGATTTTCCAGGACAAGGTATTTGGAGCTGCTTCAGAAGCCTTTACCCTCATACAGCTCTGTCAAAAATGATGAATTGCTAGTTGCCATGGAAGAACGCTTCTCCACAGGATAGATATGGAATTCTGTTTTTCCGCTCCACAAAACTGTTAGCTCTAAAAATAGCCCTGGTGAGCAGCTATCAGGAAGAGGGAGCCATTTTTGGGAGGTGTTCAACTGTAGCATCAGGATACCTTATAAGGGGCTGAGCCTACCTCATAGAAAAATCTCATCTCCAATATTAAAGATAGATATTTTTTTAAAAATGTGTTTATACTGATTAACTGTATCGAGTTTAAGAATGGAAGATAAGAAAGCCCACTGATTCCAGGAGAGGGTCTTTAAAACAGTGGCCTGCAAGCTTCTCTCAGGTGGTCTGTAGTGTGTCTGTGGATGTATGGTTGCATTAAGGACTCAAACTGATTTTTAGAGAGCCAGTGTGGTGTAGTGGTTAAGAGCGGTAGTCTCGTGATCTGGGGAACTGGGTTCGAGTCTCCACTCCTCCACATGCAGCTGCTGGGTGACCTTGGGCCAGTCACACTTCTTTGAAGTCTCTCAGCCCCACTCACCTCACAGAGTGTTTGTTGTGAGGGAGGAAGGGAAAGGCGAATGTTAGCCGCTTTGAGACTCCTTAAAGGGAGTGAAAGGCGGGATATCAAATCCAAACTCTTCTTCTTCTTTAACTGTTGCTTTCCTTTTTATTTCTTATCTTGTATGCATTTTATTGTATTACAGTTTGATTTCTGTGGCATGCAAACTGCAATGCAATAAATTACAATAGGTAAGAAATACAAATATAATTTAAAAAAAATCACACAGCACCTAATGGTCTGATTAGAATATTTTTTAAAAAAAATCAGTGACTTCAAAAAAAAAAGAGTAAAGATTAAGGGTGGTATTCAGCTAAGCATTCAACTACATTTTTGCACTTGTGTAAAAGAATTTCCACCCTTTCTGAAAACAGTGTTTTTGCATATGGGGGTTATAATACCTGCAGCTGAATCACTTTCAAAATCTGGCATCAAAAGCACTTCGCAATTTTGTGGCTGTGAAGATAGCTACTTTTCAGAAAAATAAGCATTGGAAAAGGAAAGAATAAAATGCATGTTTGTTCAAAGAAAGCTTGGATATCTTTGCCCTCTAGTGGAATATCTTATAATACACATATTCAGCATCTAGTTACCATATATTCCAACAAACTGGTGAAAAGGACGCTGAATGATGCACACTTCCAGATTAATGCAAGAAGAAGAAGAAGAAGAAGCAGCCTATTTCTTTATTTGTTTGATATTCTCTAGTTTGGTACAAAGATTAAGCTTGGTACTATTGATTTCTTAATTTTTTTGAATTCCAGACCTGTACTGCCGAAAGAAACCCGTCAAAATTATCAAACCCAACTCCTTCAAAACAAACAAGATCCATCAGGCACAAAATTGTTGTATTCTTGTCATCAGTGCTCAACCCTTACTGCAAGCAAGAGCAATGCTGTGCATGCTTAATCATATGAAAATCCCACCCTGTTCAATGGAGCTTCCTTCAGAGAAGTGTGCATATCTTACTCACCAGCCTGCAGGCGAATAACATTAGCAAGTAATGTTGTTGGTACCCCATGGCCAACTGTGGCTGACTCAACATGTCACCTGACTCAACTTTTGGGAAAGACTTCAGGAGAGAGACATTGTTTTGCCCCCTTTGTGACCCCCCGGACAGTCAGTTCATAGAGAATGGATATACACAGATATAGAATGTCTCACACATTATGTTATGTACTGAGTTGAATAGGATCCAAACTGCAGCAGTCTGATTGGTCCTAGAACAATAGGATCCAAAATGCAGCAGTCTGATTGGTCCTAGAACAATAGGATTCAGAATGCAGCAGTCTGATTGGTCCTAGAACAATGCAGCAGTATGATTGGTTGGCAGGAACCACCCAATCCTGCTCCAGATAGAAGTGAATCCACAACCTGATTGGCTTACAGTAGAATTCCGGAATTAGCCAATCATGTGCAGCCCATTGTGTAAATAATGTATATAAAGCAGATACTGTGAGGGAACTTCCATTCAGTCCTCCTCACCACTATGAGCTGAATAAAGAGCCTGAAATCACTTTGCGACTCTGAGTATATTTCACATTATTTTGTGTACATTGTGGTTAGTGCGTGAAGATACTCAATGCTCTGATACAGGTTAGCGAGTGTGTGAGCTTGCTATTGGCAACTCACAGGTAGAATCCATTCCAGCTTTTGAGATTTCACCAAGCATTTCCAAAATGTTTTCAATCTCAACCTAGCAGTTATAAGAGACAGAAATGGATACTCGACCCAGAAATGGATAATAGGCTACCCAGTACCAAATCCTCATGTTTCTAATAGTGAAATCCATACAGCACAACCTATAGCTTTGAGTGCAGTTGTGTGGACACACCATACATTTAGAGCACATTTAAACTGCATGGCTTGCCCCCAAAGAATCTTGGGAACTGTAGTTTACCCTTCACAGAGCAAAAATCTCCAGCACCTTAATAAACTACAGTTCCCATGATGCACTTTAAATGTATGGTGTGCACACAGTCTGAGAAGCAAGCAAGTTAGTGTCAAGATGCCACACTGAATCATGAGCTACGCATTTTATTTCAGTGACCCAATATCTGATATAAGGATAATATTTTCTACTCACTCTCTTTCTGGTACCAGCGTACCGCATGCAAGTACGACCCACAGTAGTGAAACATGAATTCATGCTCTGAGTGCTGCACTGCTCCCTGTAGCAAAGCTATCTGGTTCCTTCCATCAATCACCCTAAGAAAAGTAATAATACATTTAGTAAAGCAGTACTGTACAGCATACGCCGATGACTGATTCTTTAGCTCATACCTAAGGAACCGCCTCTCCTGGTATGCCCCGTGGAGGACTTTAAGGTCCATAAATAACAACACTTTGGAGGTCCTGAGTCTCAAGGAGGTTAGATTGGTCTCAGCTAGAGCCAGGGCCTTTTCAGCACTGGCCCTGACTTGGTGGAACGCTCTGTCACAAGAGACCAGGGCCCTGTGGGATTTGACATCTTTCCACAGGGCCTGCAAGATGGAGCTGTTCCGCCTGGCCTTTGGCTTGGACTCAGTCTGACCCTTTGTATGGGATTTGGTATATAAATTTTCCCTTGGCTTTTTGTTGGCTCATGTAGGACCAGCATGGATAGCTGGCTCAGGTGAATATCTGATGTTTCCTTCCTTTATGTCCTTGATTTATGGGCTACTATTAGAATGAGGCTGCATTTTCAGCTGTATTTTCAGCCGTATTTTAAGTAACTGTTTTTTCTTTTTTTCTATTATGTTTTATTGTAATTTATATTTGGTGTTAGCCACCCTGAGCCTGGCCCTCTACTACTACATACAGTTCAGGGCAAAATGTGCCAGGATAGAAGGAAGGGGGGAAAGAAAGAGGATACAGGATTTACAGGATCTTCTCTGTGCCGCCATATTTCCTGTAAGAGTCATAGAATCATAGAATCATAGAGTTGGAAGAGACCACAAGGGCCATCGAGTCCAACCCCCTGCCAAGCAGGAAACACCATCAGAGCACTCCTGACATATGGTTGTCAAGCCTCTGCTTAAAGACCTCCAAAGAAGGAGACTTTGCAGCAAATTCCACTGTCGAACAGCTCTTACTGTCAGGAAGTTCTTCCTAATGTTTAGGTGGAATCTTCTTTCTTGTAGTTTGGATCCATTGCTCCGTGTCCACTTCTCTGGAGCAGCAGAAAACAACCTTTCTCCCTCCTCTATGTGACATCCTTTTATATATTTGAACATGGCTATCATATCACCCCTTAACCTCCTCTTCTCCAGGCTAAACATGCCCAGCTCCCTTAGCCTTTCCTCATAAGGCATCGTTTCCAGGCCTTTGACCATTTTGGTTGCCCTCCTCTGGACACGTTCCAGTTTGTCAGTGTCCTTCTTGAACTGTGGTGCCCAGAACTGGACACAGTACTCCAGGTGAGGTCTGCCCAGAGCAGAATACAGTGGCACTATTACTTCCCTTGATCTAGATGCTATACTCCTATTGATGCAGCCCAGAATTGCATTGGCTTTTAGCTGCTGCATCACACTGTTGGCTCATGTCAAGTTTGTGGTCAACCAAGACTCCTAGATCCTTTTCACATGTACTGCTCTCAAGCCAGGTGTCACCCATCTTGTATTTGTGCCTCTCATTTTTTTGCCCAAGTGCAATACTTTACATTTCTCCCTGTTAAAATTCATCTTGTTTGTTTTTGCCCAGTTCTCTAATCTGTCAAGGTCGTTTTGAAGTGTGATCCTGTCCTCTGGGGTGTTAGCCACCCCTCCCAGTTTGGTGTCATCTGCAAATTTGATCAGGATGCCCTTGAGTCCATCATCCAAGTCGTTGATAAAGATGTTGAATAAGACCGGGCCCAAGACAGAACCCTGTGACACCCCACTAGTCACTCTTCTCCAGGATGAAGAGGAACCATTGATGAGCACCCTTTGGGTTTGGTCAGTCAGCCAGTTACAAATCCACTGAGTGGTATTATTCTGTCCTTATGAGTCCTTATTCTGCCTTAGGAGTTGCGCTAGTCTTGGCACTATCAATTTTTCCATTTAATTGAATGAACAGTTTTCAGTCAGGCAAATGCATAAGGTAATACTCATCAACAGATGAGCCAACTTCCACTCACATAAGACACTTCCCCCTTGTATTGCCCCCTTCTCCTACCAACTGCAGCTTTCTATCCATCCTCCAGAATCCAATCTGGATGGTTGGTGGACCCACTGGAGTAGAGGTGGTGAGCTTCTGAGGTAGTCAGGCAAGCAGAAGTCCATTGTGCAATTGATCAGGCATAATGATGTCAACCATAGGTCCCAAATTCCTACCTATTGGGCAGCTTCCAACAAATTTAAACACAATACGACATCAAACATTAAAAACATCTCTGCTTCCAACAAATTTAAACACAATACGACATCAAACATTAAAAACATCTCTGAGCAGGGCTCCTTCAGATGTCTTCTAAAAGTCAGATAGTTGTTTATTTCCTTGACGAGAGGGAGTTCCACAGGGTGGGCGCCACTACCAAGAAAGCCCCCTGCCTTCTATTTAAATATGTGGTCTTGTAATAAAAAGAAAGATTTACATTTGATTTTGTATTTTACAAAGTCTGGGATAGCTCAGTTGGTAGAGCATAAGATTCTTAATCTCAAGGTCATGGGTTTGAGCCCATTTGAAATGGAGAAAAAGGGAGGGGAATCCTAAAATATTAAATGCTGTTGGGAAAATAAAAAAGCACATGATATGGAATAATATTCCAGCATTGCAGGGGGTTGGACTAGATGATCCTTTCAACTCTACAATTCTATGATTCAACAGGCTTTTGCCCTTATATGGAGAAATCCATTTGAATTTAACAGGCCAGCATATTTTTTAAATGCAATCTTTACAGAATACCTGTAGATGAAATCACTTAAGATGTTTCTGGATTAAAACATGTCAGAAAGCCAAGCAAATGGATGATGCTATGGATTATATACACATTTTTGCAAATTTTAATGGCTAAAATCCAAATCGTCTTGAGCTACTTTCAGACCAGTATTCTGTACCTGTCTTGTGGAATGGATGCCCCAGCCAAGTGAGCCACTGTGGGGAAATATCCAGAAGACTTATTGGTTCATCAATAACACTGCCAGCAGGGACTATCCCTGGCCACCGAACTATTCCAGGCACACGGATTCCTCCTTCCCAGCCTCCCATACCTTTTCCACCTGCCAAAGAAGAAGTAATAGAAGAGAAAGATAATTACAATTCATGAGCTGAATGTCATAGTTCAGTGTGGAGATCATCAGAGTGGAGATCAGCTGTTAAATGCATTTTAAAAAAACCTAGAGCCCAGCATGAATAATGAAGGAACACACATATTGATAAAGAGGATGCGCAGGCTCTTGACATAAATAAGTTCGTATATATAACTGCCCAAGCTTTAAGACTGATTTCCAAGGCACTGTTTTGTGATCCACCTATGAAAGCAGTAAGCTTGGCGAATATCAGGGATCTCCCATATCTGTGATGGTCAAGATGAATTCATAAGTCCCCCACTCTTTGGCCATTTAAGAAATCTTAAAGACTTGGGGGATGGGGATCCAGGTGGTTTTATGGATGTTCTATTTAAGAACAGTTTTAAGCCACTGATGCTATTATTTTTTAACCACTATTTTAAATTTTGTTATGTCATAATAATTTGTTGCAACCCACTTTGGGAGCCATGGGACACGGGTGGCGCTGTGGGTTAAACCACTGAGCCTCTTGGGCTTGCCGATCAAAAGATCGGCGGTTCGAATCCCCGTGACGGGGTGAGCTCCCGTTGCTCGGTCCCCGCTCCTGCCAACCTAGCAATTTGAAAGCACGTCAAAGTGCAAGTAGATAAATAGGTACCGCTCCAGCGGGAAGGTAAACGCCATTTCCGTGTGCTGCTCTGGTTTGCCTGAAGCGGCTTAGTCATGCTGGCCACATGACCCGGAAGCTGTATGCCGGCTCCCTCGGCCAATAAAGTGAGATGATCGCCACAACCGCAGAGTCAGTCACGACTGGACCTAATGGTCAGGGGTCCCTTTACCTTACTTTGGGAGCCAGTCAACGTGCCTTTGTAGTAGCATTATATGTTTGTAATTCAGAAGCCCAGTTTGCCCTCTCAAAGCTTTGTTCTGTACGCATGGAAGTTTCCAGACACACAGGCACATTGAAGTACAGTAATCTATACAAGGGCATGGAGAATTGAAGGAAAGCTGCCTTACCTTTGTATATACCATTCCAGCCACCTAGCTGGGTAATACCCTCTCTAGCCTCCAAAAAGCCACCATGGTCAGAAGTAAAGTAAGTAAAAGTGTTGTTCCTCAAGCCCTCTTTGTCAACAGCAGCAAGAATTTCCCCTGCAGATTTGGATGAACCACAAGAGTTAATTTTAAGCCAAATACTTGGGTCCAGGATACCTCAAGGATTGCAGAATCCTTTATATCCCTGCCCGATCACAGATGTCTTTTGGGATTCAAGGCTCATATCCCTCAGAAGATATGAACTTAATATTGTGGACCCAGTTTTATGGTGCCCCCTTCCATCTGAGGTCAGGCAGGCCTCCTCCCTGTTGCACTTCCAGCATCTAATGAAGATTTAAAAATAATAATAATTCCAGATAGTATTTTAATTGGTGATTTGATTTCATAGTTTTAACTGGTTTTTATTTTTTGCATTGTATCTTTGTAAACTGCTTTTAGATACTATTGTAGTTAAGCAGCATATAAGTTGTTTCAATAAAATATAAATAAATAAGCTTGTAAAATCAATATAGAGAGGATTATCTGTCATTTCCATATGTTGAAATGGCATTGCCACAGTTTCAGGAAGTGTTTCAAGGAACTGATGACAGGGAAGGGGAGTTATCAGATTTATGAATCTCTGTTCTCCAGTGCTAAGCTGAACGCTACTGTCAGTTGAAAGACAACAAGGAAGTTACAAATTCAGGAAAAAGAAGAAGAAAAGGTCCAAGGAAGGCTACTACTTTGGTCCTTAGAAAAATATCAATAACCACAAGTGCTACTCACTCACCCACCATCCAGTCCATTTCCTCTACATTGTCTCCATATAAACCATGCCTGCTTTTTCCATGAAACGTCTTTGTGGTGAAACAGGGTGTGTGGACGTGTAACAAAGAAACAAAGAGGAGGAACGGTCCTTGTTTGTTTCTGGGGGGGGGGGGGAATGTTTAAAAATGTTGTTTTAAAACAACAACAAAAGCATCCATTAGCTATGTGGAATTCATAGCTGAGCAAAGATCTGAACAGATACAGACACAGAGATCTTTCCATACACACTAATGAGATTGAAATGTTACAAAAGGAGTAGGTTTTAGCCCATTCAGCCAGTCATTATTATCACCACCATTACCATGCTTCATGGTCATTGCTATGATAAGCAGTGCCTGCCAGACTGAAATGCTGTGAGCTGTTGAGTTTCCTATTGACTGCCACCCTAAAACTCTGAGCAACTGCATTTGGCAAAGCTTATGAGCCAATTTTGGGGGGCATCTAAGAGAAGGGGGTGGGAATCCTGTTGCACAAGCATAGAGAAATCCTTTGCAGAGGATTTTGGTTGATGAAGTTTCTTAGGGGAATCCAACCCAGCATGTTTACAAGTTGCACACTTCTCTCTTATACACTTAATTTAATGAATGTCTGAGCCCAATCAAAGCACAAAGGAAAATTCACATTTCACACACATAGTTTCCTTTACCACATGCACACAGTTGAACATGTGGACACCTTGGCTGAGATGTACCAATACTTCAGCAAGGTACCCAGATCCTAAATCAGAGCTTTGCAAACTGTGTGTCATGATACATTAGTACAGGGGTCAGCAAACTTTTTCAGCAGGGGGCCGGTCCACTGTCCCTCAGACCTTGTGGGGGGCTGGACTATATTTTGAAGGGGGAAAAATGAACGAATTCCTATGTCCCACAAATAACCCGGAGATGCATTATAAATAAAAGCACTCATGTAAAAACACGCTGATCCCCGACCATCCATAGGCCAGATTTAGAAGGTGATTGGGCTGGATCCGGCCCCCGGACCTTAGTTTGCCTACCCATGTGTTAGTGTGTCGGCTGCAGTGTGCAGGTGTGTCATGTGAACACTCCTCACTCTCCTCCCGGGGCTGGAAAGGGGTTAGTTTAACCTCCCGTTTGATAGTAAAACTAAATTACTGTGTCGCGAAATGATGCAAAACTGAATTACTGTGTCACAAAATGAAGCATAAAAAGTTTGGAAAGCTCTGTCCTAAAAGTTTGTATCGATGCAACATCATCTGAAAAACATGCCACTGAGCAATGCAGTGATTTGACACACTAGTAAAGGTAGTCTTAGCTCCATCCTAAGCACGGACGACAAAGGTTTCAAAATCAGTCCACTCCTCTCAAAATCTGAAAAGCAGTTAAATAATTTTAATGGGTTACCGTTTAATAAATGAGGTTGACTCTTTCAATATCCTGGAGGCAGCATTTTCCAGCTTTATTGGCTGCTGAGTAATGATGTGATCTCTCAACATGATGCAGTTCCAGTATCTTACAAATCCATAATTGGCAAACCAGGAGATGAAAAATAGGATACCACATGAAGCAGTGAAGGCAATTATTTTCCATTTCACATAGAACAAACCAGTAGTTCTTCCCAGCACAAGACTGAACACCAAAAGAGCTGCCATCTGGGTGTAAAACCAATACGTAGCTTGCAGCTGGACGTTCATCTCAGGATCCTTATTAGCCTGGCATTCATTCACAAGTGTAAAAGGGGTGCCATAGAAGTAATCAAAGCCATGGTTTAAAGGGTGGTGGCAGTGGTCATTGTGGGATTCACAGTTCATGCCTTGGTGCCATTTTCCTGAAAAGATAAACAATGATAGCTAAAGAAACCATGAATTCTGTAAATTACCAATAAGCAACTTAATACACTTAATATTTATACTGGAAAAATATAGGCAAACCCTGTCCTCCGTTCAAAATAGCTTGCCCCCTTGATTCTGCCTGCTCACCCTCTAATTTATTTTATTAATTTTTTAAAAAGTTTTTATTTATACTTTTCAAGTTTATACATTTCATTAATTTTACCATCAATTTGACATTTCAAAATTTAACTTCCTTCTCCCTCTTTCTGCGGTTCCTTAAATTTATTTTTCAATATCTTCTGCATATCCAAATTCATTTAACTTCCCATTTAATTATCTACTGTAAATATATACTCTTATAAAAATTCAGGTTATTACAACAATCCTGTTAATGTTTTTATCTGTTTACAATTTATCTTTAATATTCAATAAAACGTTTCCATTCTTTTATAAACAGTTTGTTATCTTGATTTCTTATTCTTCTGGTAAGTTTCGCCATTGCTGCATATTCCGTAAGTTTTTGTATCCATTCTTCCTTTAGTGGGACTTCTGCTTCTTTCCACTTCTGGGCATTGTTGCTGCTGTAGTAGCATACAGTGGTACCTCGGGTTACATACGCTTCAGGTTACATACGCTTCAGGTTACAGACTCCAATAACCCAGAGATAGTACCTTGGGTTAAGAACTTTGCTTCAGGATGAGAACAGAAATCACGTGGCGGCAGCGTGGCAACAGTGGGAGGCCCCATTAGCTAAAGTGGTGCTTCAGGTTAAGAACAGTTTCAGGTTAAGAACGGACCTCCGGAACGAATTAAGTACGTGACCAGAGGTACCACTGTACATAAATAAATTTCTATACGATTTAGGTAGTTCTGTCCCAATAATTTCTTTTGCTTACCCTCTAATTTAACTTCGTCAGCTGGAGACCCCAAGAAGGCAGTAACAACCATGAAATTTTTGATCAAACTGAAGCTCAGATGTGTCAGTGAAAAATGGAAGGAATATGTCAATGTAATACTATACCTATAAGGCCCGTGGTGTAGCCCTGTTGCTGTAATAACTTAGCAAATGTTGTTTCATTCACGGGGAGTCCTCCAGAAGCACCAGTACGCGCGAAGACACGGGGATCATGTCTGGACACCATACCTAACATGTAAAAGGAATTGGGGGCGAGAGCCTTAGTATGAGTGGCAGCTGCTATCACATTGACTTGGCTGGGCTGCAGTTAATAAACCCTTCAGGTCAGGCAGGGTTCCCTCCCAGCCCAACCAGGAGATGATGGGGGTTGAACCTGGAAACTTCTGCATGCAACACAGTTGTGCTACCACTGGGTACAGACTTGTGCCTGTGTGAAAAGACTCCTGGAGTCCCGTACTGCATGACAGCTGGCCAGGAGGTGTGACTGACAGGATCTTGTCATGCTAGGTCCAGCTATGCAGAAAATGCATGCACAACTGCAGAGCCCTGAAAGAGGTCTATGTATGTGCGTGCATATGCTCCCCCCTCCCCCCGATCTGCATCAGGACTGGTTATCGCTTGGGGTAATCCTCTGTGCACCCAAACACCAGCCAACCATTTAAAGAGAGCGCCAAACCTGATCTGATGGGGTATCTGCCAGTCAGAAAAGCTGCTCTGCTTGGGGTACAAAGCGAGGCTGCAGCAATCTGCTGAGTAAGCTTCACTCCTTCCCTTGCTAGCTGGTCAATATTAGGAGTCCTAATATGTAGAACAAAGAGATACTTTAGTTTGGGAATACTGTATGGTCCCGTGTCATTTGCAGAAACCTTTTCGTGAAGCCTTTCTTGGGTCGCAGCTCCATCTTGAGGGCTGCAGAGGCAACAAAGGGTTTATTTAGAAATTGTATCAAACACTTACTAAAAAAATTCTCTAGGCTGTAGAGATGAAACCATAGAAGCAATATGGTTAAATTGCATGACCCAAATCATCAGGCTCTAGTAATGTAGTGACACTGTACAAAACTGTGATTTACACTGTGGTGGTTAATTGAACAAGGAGCCTTTGGGGTGAATAGGAGCTGCCCCCAAAAGCAAAAGGTGAGCCTGGGGAGGAACAGGACGAGTGGTGCAACTTTGTGGGTGGGGCTGAGTGCATGATCTCAAGTCACAAAATGACACTTACTTGAGTGTGTCGTTACCAAAGCATCCCAAATCACCATAGCCAAGGTCATCCGCCATTATCAACAAAACGTTGGGTCTTGACACGGCCGCATCACACATTTGGGGAAATAGGGAGGAAACTAGCAAAATAGCTAGACTGCATCTATATAAACAACCACCAAAACATCAGGATCAGAATTTTCTAAGTTTGGATTATCTGCGATTGTGGTGGGGAAGAGAGATAATTTTTAGTGGAAGGGTTGTAGGAGTTCAATAACAGAGCAAATGGTTTCTGTGCTAATGGATCCAGGTTTGGGTCACATCCACATCATACATGCAAAGTACATGGCTTCTCCCAAAGAATTCTGGGAAGGCAGTTCCTGGCATCTCCAGCTGGTGCTAAGAAAGACTCCTGTCTGAAACCCTTAAGAACCGCTGACTGTAAAAGAAAACACACAAGAAGCGAAGAATGCTTCACCATCTTTTCACTGAAAGTCCTGCCTTTCGATATGAATGGGTATAAACTTTATATTGCTTGATATGAGTTTGGATAGGAATGTTTATGCCCTTGCAAAGTAGAGAAAATAGATACTGTGGGACATGTCTTATTGTGTTGTTCCTTCCGCCGTGAAATCCACCACCATTTTATTAATCCACTTTTACAAAGTATACCAGGAAGATCTGAAGTGTTTTATATCAATTATCTTTTGCCTGACCAGTTTCCCGAGATCACTGCCAAGGTAGCTAGTTTTTGTGCGGCAGCAATAGCTTGTCGGCACAAGATCTTGTCTTAATTTTAGAATTATTAACACCTTACCCTGTTTTTTTTTTATTTAAAAAAACATTTTAATATAATTATTTTATATTTCCCCTTGCTTTTTAATTTCTTACATTGTTTTAAACTTCACATGTAATAGTATACTTAATTTATTTTATTGTGGTTTGCTGTCTTCTTATCTTCTGTACTGGTCATTTACTGAAATAAAAAAAGTGTTGATATGAGGGGGGGGGAGAGGGAGAGGGAGAGGGAGAGAGAGAGAGAATCTTGCTTCAGGGTTTCTTGAACGTGACCTGAATGTCCCTGACCTGAAGGAACATGTTTTGAGTTCCTCCAGCTTATGGCATGATGGGGTGTGTGATGATGATGATGTAAAGTTTGTTTTAGAGTTAAAGTCATGCCCTTTACCCCTGATACTAAGGAATAGGTTTGTAGTCTTTATCATGAGGTAAGGCACCTGCAGACCCTGTAGTAGGTGATCATATTTAAAATTCCCCCATGTTTTTAGTTATAGCTACTAACTTTCCTTATGGTTATTTCCATACCCCTGCCCACTACCCAAACAGTAGGAATAAGGGATAGACATGACCCCTCATATTCAGACCCCATTATGGTGCTGAGGGGTCCGTTTTGCTCAGGTATACAAGGCATACCATTCCGCACTTACCACCCCAATGTGATTGTTCCCCCACCTCAACCAATAAATAAATGCATTACAACTTCACTAAGAAATACACTTTATAGTACATTGTGTATGCACATGTTTGTCCCCATTTTAGCTACCCCCAATTTCTGTGATGTGTCAATTTCCCACCACCATAAATTCCTTCTACGAATCAAATGACAAACATCTATAGAATAAATCTGGCATGTACAGCACAATGAACTTTAACAACAACAACAAAAAAGTTACAACCACGAACTCCAAAACCAGTGCTCTGGGGAGTAACACTGACACATTTAAAAAGTACTCAACACAAGTAGCATTTTCGCTGTGTTATTTACTGCTTTGCATGTTTAAAGAGAGGCATTTTTAGAGCCGTTGCAGCATTATTTATGTATTCAAGTGCATACAATCCCATCCCCCTCAGACGCAACAAAACTTACTTGAATAGGGTGTGGCGTTTGCCCTCCTAGGTGGGTCATAAGGAAAGGGTTAAATGAATGTGAAGTGATTGGCGAGTGGGAACCCCAGGGGAGGAGTTATACCGTATTTTTCGCACCATAGGACGCACCGGACAATAGGACGCACTTTGTTTTAGAGGGGGGAGAACAAGAAAAAAAAATTCTCCCCCTCTCTGCCCAGCGCCCCTTCAGCGAGGTGGAAGGAGGGGCTGTGCAGAGAGGGGAGAACTTTCCCACTCTTGTTTTCCCGCTCTAAAACAAGGTGCCGTTTAAGGTGCGTTCAGGCGGCTACCTTGGAAGCCTGGAGAGCGAGAGGGGTCGGTGTGCACTGACCCCTCTCGCTCTCCAGGCTTCAGGTTCCTTTCGCCCTGCTCTTTGGGGCTGGCGGGGGAAGCCCACCACCAGCCCCAAAGAGCAGTTCAGGGAGCAGCGGAAAGGCGCAGTGGAGAGGCTCCTGCCATAGCCGTGCGTCACCTCTCCAGCCGGGAGAGGGTCGCGGGGCTATGGCTTCTTAGCCCGCGCGCTGCTCCCGGCTGGAGAGGTGACGGGCGGCTATGGCAAGAGCCTCAAGAGCCGCGCGTCACCTCTCCAGCCGGGAGAGGGTTGCGGGGGGCTTCTTTAGCCCCGCGCGCGCTCTCCCGGCTGGAGAGGTGACGGGCGGCTATGGCAAGAGCCTCAATAGCTGCGCGTCACCTCTCCAGCCGGGAGAGGGTCGCGGGGTGCTTCTTTAGCCCCGCGCGCGCTCTCCCAGGTGTAGAGGTGACGCGCGGCTATGGCAAGAGCCTCACTAGCTGCGCGTCACCTCTCCAGCCGGGAGAGGGTCGCGGGTGCTTCTTAGCCCGCGCGCGCTCTCCCGGCTGGAGAGGTGACGGGCGGCTATGGCAAGAGCCTCAATAGCTGCGCGTCACCTCTCCAGCCGGGAGAGGGTCGCGGGTGCTTCTTAGCCCCGCGCGCCTCCCGGCTGGAGAGGTGACGGGCGGCTATAGAAGCTCCTGCCATAGCCGCCCGTCACCTCTCCAGCCGGGAGAGGGTCGCGGGTGCTTCTTTAGCCCCGCGCGCTCTCCCGGCTAGAGAGGTGACGGGCGGCTATGAAGCTCCTGCCATAGCCGCGTGTCACCTCTCCAGCCGGGAGAGGGTCACGGGGGGCTGCTTTAGCCCCCCGCGCGCTCTCCCGGCTGGAGAGGTGACGGGCGGCTATGGCAAGAGACTCAATAGCCGCGCGTCACCACTCCAGCCGGGAGAGGGTCGCGGGGGGCGTCTTTAGCCCAGCGCGCGCTCTCCCGGCTGGAGAGGTGACACGCCGCGATAGAGGCTCCTGCCAAAGCCGCGCGTCACCACTCCAGCCGGGAGAGGGTCGCGGGGTGCTTCTTTAGCCCGCGCGCTGCCCGGCTGGAGAGGTGACGCGCGGCTATAGAAGCTCCTGCCATAGCCGCCCGTCACCTCTCCAGCCGGGAGAGGGTCACGGGGGGGCTGCTTTAGCCCCGCGCGCGCTCTCCCGGCTGGAGAGGTGACGCAGGGCTGTAGAGGCTCCTGCCATAGCCGCGCGTCACCTCTCCAGCCGGGAGAGGGTCGCGGGGCTATGGCGTCTTCGCTCCATAGGACGCACACACATTTTCCCTTCATTTTTGAAGGGAAAAAAGTGCGTCCTATAGAGCGAAAAATACGGTAGTTAGAGTTAGAGTTGTTTGGAATTCAGTTGGGAGTTGGAGAAGGAAGAGGGAGGATACGTCTGTGGGTTGGTCGAGTTTTGATGTGAGAGAGTGAGAGAAACTGATAGGAGTCAGATAGACAGTTGGGATAATCAGTTAGCAGTTATTAGTAAGCTATAGGCCAGTATAGAAACTAAGGATAAGAAACTGACAAGAAAAATTATCTGAAACCATAAACTTGTTCATGCTTATAAAATAAACTTGATTATTTGTTTTAATGTTAACAACTGTCTGAACTCAGTGTGTACCCAAGAGAAACGGGTTGGTGGCAGCGGGGAAGTGATCATAGTGGTGGCACAGGGATCAATAGACTGTCAAATATCCGGGGACCCTGTGTGATCGCCACATAGGGCTTCAATGGGACACAGTACTGAAGAAATCTTAGAAGTTAACCACTTGCTACATTCCCTTAGTGTTTCAAAAATACAGCTCAGTCTTGGTCAGAAAAATTCCCTGCATACTGGAGTTACTTCCACATTCACCACCAATCAACTGGACATCAGGGAACAGAGAGATTATTTTAATTCTGTCTGGGTTTGCCTGCACAGAGTGCAGGGTCACAATGGGAAATATGCTGTCTAGCCATTGCTACAAATACCAGAAAGCACTGGAAAAACTAATTGGCAAGGATCAGCATTGGTTGCTATTTAAAATATAGAGAGAGAATGATTCCTTTTTCAAAAAAGAATGCTTTCCACTTACCTGGAGAGCCTAATCTTCAATTTGTGATCCATCCCTAGTCCTCTAGGCGTTTGGAGGTGATATAGCGAGAACGACTGTCAGGCTTTGTCTTCTGTTTTGACAGCTCGCAAGGCTGTTTTCCCAACCATCTGCTTACTTAATAGCTTGCCAAGTAAATCGGTGGATTGTGAAACAAGATGGCTATTACAAATTGACTTGAACCCTTGAGCAACTACAGACAAAGTCCACTCTTGGAAAGCAATCACTGTTATATTTATATAACAATCACTGTGGCCTTTATAGCAGCTTCTGTTGCACCCAATCACTCAGAGAAAAACCTTCACCGTGCCAACAGGAAGCAAGTAGGATTTTATTATATTTTGTTTCCTCTCTTCTTTTTGCTCACGATCCCAAATTTCCAGACAGCTGAAATATATATATATATTTTCTCTGCTCACATTACATTCAAAGCAGTGCTCTTTTTTTTTAAGGGAAAAAAGGTGCTGGTACACACCATGAAGTTGTTACAGTAAGTGCCAATTTTTTTGGGGGGGGGGAGTGCCAGTACTACATATCCTTGCATACCCCCAGGGGAAAAGGCACTGATTCTAAGAAAGGTGCAATCACTAAAGGAAAAATAGGGATGCCTATGGCAACCTACAAAAAAAAATTATTTATTTTTTGGTGTCATGGGCTTTTGTGGGCCAGTATAACCACAGAGCCTAGGGCTTGCTGATCAGGTCGGCGATTTGAATCCCAGCAACGGGGTGAGCTCCCGTTGCTCAGTCCCTGTTCCTGCCCACCAGCAGTTCGAAAGCACATCAAAGTGCAAGTTGATAAATAGGTACTGCTCTGGTGGGAAGATAAACAGCGTTTCCGTGCGCTGCTCTGGTTCACCAGAAACAGCTTAGTCATGCTGGCCACATGACCCAGAAGCTGTATGCCAGCTCCCTTGGCCAGTAAAGCGAGATGAGCGTCCCAGCCCCAGAGTCATCTGTAACTGGACCTAACGGTCAGGGGTCCCTTTACCTTTTTAAGGTGTCTCAAAGTGGCTAACAATCTCCTTGCCCTTCCTCCCCCACAACAAACACTCTGTGAGGTGAGTGAGGCTGAGGAAAAGAGGAAGTGTGAATAAGCCCAGAGCCCCAAAATTTGTGGAAGGACAAACAAATGTTATGGTGGAATGAGGTGGGATGGAGAATAAAATGGGAGTATCCTGGGAGAAGGAATCTTGTGCAACAGAATCTTCTCATCCCATGCACCCACTAAATCTGTTTTAGGGATTCTCCAAACTCTCTGGAGCAGGTTTGGGGAAGGTGCAGGGCATGGGCAGAGGAAGAAGCAGGAGGAACTGTCCTATTGCACAAGCAGAAATGGGTTGGATGACATAGGACATTGTGTCAAGTTCCACTTGTGAATGGATGAGTGCACCATCTGTGGAAAAATCCATTTTTTCCTTTACAATTAGAAATATGCCCCCCTGCCAGCCACTATACTGCTTCTAACAGCCTCCCATAGTCAAAGGGAATACAGAAGCTATGAAAAGTTTACACAGAGAGCTGTTAGGAACATAAATATGACAAGGAAATGCTTTGTGGCTTGAGCCTGAATGAATGAGGTTGGCTATCAATCTCAATAAATACAGGCAACAACTCTGGCTTCTAAAACCAGAGTATTGCTTTTTCCTTTGCCAAGTAATTTGCTAAAGGATATATAAGTCACAGCAGTAAAGGAACAGAAGCGAAAGTTGGCAGGCCTATAAAGGTTGGTAGAAGCATACAGGAAATGTCATCTATGTCACACTCCAATCAGAAACAAGATTTTTCATTCTTTTGCAACAGCCATATTTTGGAGACATACTTTCTCATTTTTTTCATAGAATCATAGAGTTGGAAGAGACCACAAGGGCCATCGAGTCCAACCCCCTGCCAAGCAGGAAACACCATCAGAGCACTCCTGACATATGGTTGTCAAGCCTCCATGGAAGGAGACTCCACCACACTCCTTGGCAGCAAATTCCACTGTCCAAACCTTTAAAATGCAACTACGTGTTCTCTCCATGTTTTCAAAGGAAAAGATGTTCTAACCAGTGCTAAATCTCATTATACAGTCCTAAAAACAGTGAAATTAACTGAAACATATATTTTATTCAGTTTAATTCATGAACAAATACCCCAAAAGCAAAATATGAGTCATTATTAGTACTGCAAAAATGGACACTAATCTCCAAAAGCCTTACTTCCAGCATAATCATGAGTATGTCTGCTCACAAGCCAGTCACATTCTGTTCAAGGGAGCGTGCTGCCATGTAAATATGTATAGGATTGCAGCCTAATTTTATTTTTAATTTTTAAAATCATAATCCAAAAAAGTTTGAGGTTTATATGACTATTAAAGGTAAAGGGACCCCTGACCGTTAGGCCCAGTTGCAGATGACTCTGGGGTTGTGGCGCTCATCTCGCTTTACTGGCTGAGGGAGCCGGATTACAGTTTCCGAGTCATGTGACCAGCATGACTAAGCTGCTTCTAGTGAACCAGAGCAGCGCATGGAAACGCCGTTTGCCTTCCCACCTATTTATCTACTTGCACTGCGTGTTTTCAAACTGCTAGGTTGGCAGGAGCAGGGACTAAGCAGTGGGAGCTCACCCCGTCGTGGGGATTCGAACCACCAAACTTCTGATCGGCAAGCCCTAGGCTCTGTGGTTTAACCCACAGCGCCACCCACGTCCCTTATATGACTATTAGTTGACTCCAAACCCAAGCCACAAATTTTAGTAAGCTGGTTTGCAGATGCTTACATGGAAAAGGGATAGCATACTTGTATTTTATAGGAAGGGAGAATACAGAACCAAGGTCAACAGTGATTGTGTGCTCACCATTTGAGAGTCTTACCTTTTAAGTGGTATTTCAAGTTCTGTTTGGAGACCTGATCAGAAATGTCATCAGCTGTCCAGCCCCTCCTTATAATTTCTGCACATTCCTTTTAGCACTCCCTCTTTTGCTATTTACCTCTTCATGATTTTGCTTATTTTGCTTCATTTTAGACACTTTGCCATACGTATATTTTTTTGTGCTTGCAAGATTTCTCATCAGATTTCTGTTCTGTCCACCCCACCAAAATATCTGCGGATTGTGCACCACAGAGCATTACATCTCATTTATACATGAAAAGGCATGTGGGCAAGCAGAAGAGGGACATCTCTTATTGATCCTTCTTTCTTAAAAACAAATAAACCCAGAAGCCTTGTATTTTAAACATGGATCAAAATCTTGTAACATGTACCAGATCAGCACACAATGAGAAAATAGTGACATGGTTTTCTTTTTCTTCCTCTTCTAGTGTGTCTCTTAGATTTTGCTTGCTAGTTTAATAAGAACTTTTGAAAGGCAAGAGCTAGTTTATGATGTTTAGATGGTGCCTTCCTCTAAGTGCTTGGAGTTGCCAATTATTGCATGGAAATAGTCCGTGCAGAATTATTGTCAGTTCTCATTTCAGGTATAATTATCACTGGTAAAGTTAACGTAGAAATCCTTTTCTCTCTCATTATCAGCCCTGTAGCCATGAGCGTAGAACTGCTCTGCCGTCCTACTCAGGCTTATCCACACACCCTGCACCCCATCCTGTGTTGTGCAAAGTCTAGCAGGTAAGAAGGGAGAACAGGTGACAGTAATGGGAGATGTGAAGGGCAGCGTCAGGGGCTGGACTGAGGAGGAATGGTGTGGGCCACTCCCCTTCTACACAACCTTCCCAAGAACAGGAGGACAACATAGAATTACAACAGTGGTTTGCAGAAGGTTCAGAGAATGTAGAGGGGAAAAGCTGGGAAATATTGGAAGAGCAAGTAGAAACAGCTGACAAGACACAGTGTCTTTGGTGAGCATTCCTGAGCCCCCCTCCCCCAGGACTAGGCAGGCAGTATGAGTAGCTGAACAGAAAGCTCAGAGACAGAAAGATTAGACCAACCAGTGCAGGGATGACGTGGCATAACAGAGACGAAGGAGGGCAGGACTTTATTTGGAGCCATTTCTAGAGAGAGAGAGATACATTCCTTTGTCTCTCGCTGTGATTATTGAATAAACTAATTGGTAAGAACTCTTTTTTTTATCAGCTTCTTTACTGCCACCTGCCTGTCTGACAGGCAGAAAATGATGTGGCTGCATCCTCCTTCAAGCCTGGGGACTCCTTGAGAAACAGGAGAAAGCAACCTTAACTGACAGGAAGCAGCTAAAATCACACAGGAAACCTCTTGAATGATGTTCTCTGCCATAAAAGGATTCTTTGGTCAGCCGACTTTATATGAATGGGTATCACTTTCTTCATTGTCACACCAACAGAAGGGGAAGGTCCCACAGCATGGCTGCAACCATGGTTTCCACATAATGTTTCCAAGAGAGAGCTGCTGTGGGACAGGTGTGAGGGTCCCACGATGCTCCTCCACAGCTCTGCCTATGTGCTTTAGGACTGTGTGGAACAAGGGCTCCGTGTCCGGTGAAAGAGGCACAGCCTCTGATGGGTCTCTTGAGAGATCAAACAGCAGAGGAGGATCATGACGTGTTACACCTTCTCCAGAACATGGGCAAATCCCTTTTCCATAACAGGCTCCTGCGCCTTTGGGGTGAAAGATTGGTGTTATGTAATGAGCCTTCCATAATGCACCACCTGGGAAGAAAAAGAAAGCACAAACAAAAACACCCTGAAACAATAATCATGAAGGTGATGATATTCCCTGGAGATCTGGCTGAAATCTGAAAATTCAAATAAATTTACTTGCCAACAGAAGGAAATGCACAAGAACAACTCTCCAATAGCCCAGTGCATTAGGTGTAATCTATTCCTCTCACTTTCCTTCTGGCCACTTGGCCTGATTTTGTCAAGTTCCATTGACAATGAACTTTAGCCCCAGCAGTCTTGGGAACACTGCTTTCTATGGCAATGATTACCAGGCATGTTCTCCCCCCACCCCCACAAAAAAGTAGTAAATTTAAGTATACCTGCATCTTATTATTTTAAATAACAGGAGGTTTGTTTTCACACTGGGGAATTTGTTGTACTCACTGTCTTTCTGATGCCACCGTACTGCATGTAAGTATGATCCACAGTAATGAAACATGAATTCATGTTCTGAATGCTTGACTTCTTGTTGTAGCAAAGGCAATAGATTCCTTCCGTCAATTATTCTATAGCGACAAAGAAAGAATACGTCATCAGGCAGAAGACTGAAATGAAAAGGCCATGTTTTTGCAGTGCTTTCTTGTAAACAGAGCCCCCCCCCCATGCATTCACATCAATTTTGAACAACATCCTGAAAACTTTGTTTTCAATATTTCCCCCCAGCATTTGATTAAACACAGATTTGGCCACGAGGGACGCAATTACATTATGTCCAAAGATATTATAACAAAGAAGAAAGATGAGTGTATACACTATTCAAAGAACTAATTATTAGGAAAGAAGTCATGAAGTAGTGCAGTTATTTAGATATTTGCTTCTTCTTCTTTTAAGTGTTATGTGAGCATGCTTAAGCTTCAGTGCTGCAGAGAGGGAGCAGCCAAAATTATAAACAAAACCTAACTAAGGAAACATTTCCAACATTCACAAAATAATATAGGCCATAAATGGAGGAACCATGGTCATCAGTTACGTCACAAATGCTGTACAGTAGATGCTTACAACACCAACACAACCATATTCCACACAGCATTAATGATCGCACTGATGCACTAGGTGGGCTGGGAATTTCCTCTTTCTTTCATTTCAAAAGATAGCAAAAGTGCTGGAAAAGTGTACGTTGCCTACAAAAAGGTATTGCTTAATACCTTAATTCAGATGACTGACTCTTGCAGAAGAATACTGGATAACCCGCCCCACCCCCAAAAGGAAGGAGGGAGGGATGGAGGGAAGGAAGGAAGGAAGGAAAAGTGTATGCTTGAACAAAGAACCTACACTGACTATCAATGTCCACTGCTCCCAGGCTACATTATATATTGCATGATGAATTCTGCTTATTTCAAGATGCCTTCAAGTAGAGCATGCACAATATGAGCAAGGATACAGGCTCTATACCTGTCTTGTGGTACAGTCCCTCCAGCCACATGAGCCACCGTAGGGTAAATATCCATAAGGCTTGTTGGTTCGTCAACAACAGTGTTGGCAGGGAGCATTCCAGGCCACCTTAAGATGCCTGGCACCCGAATGCCTCCTTCCCAACCTCCCATGCCTTTGCCCCCTACATTGGGAACACAATAGCAGAAACAGACATGTTTATTATACTTACTTTCCTAAGCAAAAGAACATTCCAAGTCTCTTGTGGGTGGTGGAACCACATGGCCTTTCCATTTTCTTTGAAACTATCAATATGCACTAAAGGGCCGAGAATCAGTGGGATTGCTTTCATTTCAAACAAAAGCAGATCACAGGTTTTAGAATATATTGCAACCTTCCATATTTGTATTTGTATTATTATTTTATTTATGCCCCACCCATCTGTCTGGGTTTCCCCAGCCACTCTGGGTGGCTTACAGCATATATAAAACATAGTAAAATATCAAACATTAAAAACTTCCCGATATAGGGCAGATGTCTTGTAAAAAGTTATGTAGTTCTTTATCTTCTTGACCTCTGAAGGGAGGGCATTCCATAGAGAGGGCACCACTTCTGAGAAGGCCCTCTGCCTGGTTCCCTGTAACTTTGTTTCTTGCAGTGAGGGAACCAGCAGAAGACTCTCAGAGGAGGACCTCAGTGTCTGGGCTGAATGATAGGGGTGGAGACCTTCAGGTATACTGGCCCAAGGCTGTTTAGGGCTTTAAATGTCAGCACCAACACTTTGCTCAGAAATGTACTGGGAGCCAGTGGAAATCCTTTAACACCAGTATTATTTGGTCCCGGTGGCCATTCCCAGTCACCAGTCTAGTTGCCACATTCTGGATTAGTTGTAGTTTCTGAGTCACCTTCAAAGGTAGCCCCACACAGAGCTCAGTGCACTCTGGCAACACAGTCCATGAGTAGGTAGGGCCTCAGGCAGCATACCAGATGGAGCTGGTAGACAGCTGCCCTGGACACAGAAGTGACCTGCGCCTCCATGGACAGCTGTGGGTTACCCAATAATATTTATCAGCCATATGCAACTCAAAAGAGTTCCCATAGACATATGTATACAGGGTGTGGTCAATAAAAGACCACATGCCTCCTAATTTCATAGCACAGGAAAAGAGATCAATTTATCCTGAAAAACAACCCAAAGCAAAATTACCCAAACTTCCAGATAGGCAAAGCAACTATATTGCTGCACTGTTTACCTTTATATATGCCATTCCAGCCACCCAGCTGTATTGTTCCTTCCTGAGCTTCCAGTTGCCCTCCATGGTCTGAGGCAAAATAGGTCAATGTGTTGTTTCTCAAGCCTTCCTTGTCAATAGCATCTAGAATTTGACCTACAGAGTTAACCCCCCACCAAAAACAAATATTTACTATGGAGACAATAGCACACAAGGAATTTGTCTTATCTTATCCTCAAAACAGTCCTGTGGTACAAGTTAAGCTTGGCTTCTAAAACTGCTCATGAAACAGGGATAACCTATCTCTCCCTCCTGACTTTGAAAGAGGCTAGCTGTTCCTTAGATGCACATCAAATTATTGCATAAAGGTGTACGTTGTAGAATTGACAGTAGCCATGCAGGAACCTTTCTCCTCCTCCTCTCCATCCTAACAGGACGTGTCTGTGATCCCACCAAAATTGTAATAAACTGCAGCACTGAGGGCAGGATGTTCTATATTTCACCTTTGTACTACAAGAAAGGGTAGCTGATTTTTAAATCATTCACTCAATCCTTGCAGCCCATAAACAAGGCAGTGTTCAAGACAGCCACAGAATCATAGTCCATGCCTCACCACCACTTGGGGTGATCAGTGTCCATTAACAAGAGAAGAATGCTTAGAGAAAGCCAACACACCTACTAACCAGTCCATTTCTTCTACGTTGTCTCCATATATCCCATGCCTGCTTTTCCCAAGAAAAGCTTCTGTTGTAAACAGGGGCGTGTGGACGTGCAAAAAAGAAACAAAGAGGAGGAATGGCCCATGCTTGTTGCTTAAAAGAAATGAATAGAACACATTTAGTAAATTGCAGCATCTTTGCAGTTTGATATTTCAGGGAAAGTGTTCAATTACCTCTGAATAAATGAAACTGCTTCCTTTAGGACAAGAGAAGCCGTTCTTTCCAGCTTCATTGGTTGTTCAGTGATGTTGTGGTTGCGCATCAAGATGCAATTCCAGTATTTCACAAAGCCATAACTGGAGTACCAGGAAGCAAAAAACAGGAACCCAAGCAAAGCAAAAAAGGTGACCACCTTCCAAGTAACAAAGACCAGTCCTGTTGTCTTTCCTACAAGAGCTGTGAGAACTGCAAGGGCAATAAGTTGGGTGTAAAACCACAGCTTAGCCTGCAACGCTGCATCCAACTCTGGAGGCTTGTGGTCCTGGCAGTTGTTGAGAAGAGTGAAAGGCATGCCATAAAAGTAATTAAAGCCGTGACTCAAAGGATGGTGGCAGTGATCATGGACAGAGTCACAGTTTACCCCTTGATGCCACTTCCCTGGAAATTAAAGCAGAAAACAGTCTGTTACTATTACTTGGAGTGGATTCTGCTGCCCACCCCTTCAAAGTTTGATAACTAAAGTTATCTTCCAGGAAGGTCTTCCTTTCAAACACAGTCGCAATGAATGGCACTGTACAACCGTGCAGTTTCATGGGACTATAGCAGCACTAAAGCACTCTTGTAGCATTTTAGCATGTCATGGCTTCCCCTAAAGAATCCTGGGAACTGGAAGGGGTTAAGTGTGCTCACCTAACATACCTACAATTCCCAGTACCCTCAAGAAACTAGTTTGTAAGCTTCTCCATAACGTGTAAATCTGGTATCAGTGTGCTTTAAAAGTATGGCGTGTTTGTCCACTCAAATCCTTATTTCCCTCCCTATAATGATCCTTTAAGCGGAGATTTCAGAATGATCCTTTAAGTGGCATTACCTGACCATCTGTGCCAGACAGTGTTAATCTTCATGTTTAATACATGAACCATTTCTCAAAAGGACCGCTGTGACTGTGAATCTTTAGAAGTACTGTGAACGTTTAGATTTACAGGGAAACTGCAACACAGCAGATTTAGTGGAGTCTCTTGACCTACTAACCTCCACTGTGAAATCAGTCGACAATTTATTGCACTTGGCTTCCTTTCCAGTTGATGGTCTAATCATTTGACTCTTAACTCTCACGCACGAGCCCAGCATGTAGTCTGAGAAAGACTCCCACAGAAGGCAGCAATGAGCATGCATCACTTCAGGAGCACTCCTAATCCACACAGAAAAAGTCCTAAACATCTAACCCAGTCCTGAATCTCAAGATGACCTTAAGATACAGTCATTACTGTCCCTGCACACTGTTTACACAATTGCAGCCAGGTGTTTAGGTACTGATGCATACATGCAACTATAAATGGAAATCTACTTACAGTATTATTTCTTTTCTCTCTTTTTACAATCATTTGGTATTTCCGATTTTTCTTTTCACTTTACTTCCGCCATCTTAAAGCATGAATGTTACCAAGTGGGTATACAAGTCAGAAAACAAAGACATACTTGCCCACACACTTGGTAACATATTTGCCTCGCTCAAATGCTTGCTACAGTACAGGCAGGTTATTGTGTAACACCGTTAGTATAAGTCACGTAAAAGTAGGTCATGTTAATGTAGCACATTCTGACCCAGTCATACCAAATACCCCAGATTTATTCTCAACACACACCCAGAGAGAGAGAGAGAGAGGCAGACAGACAGGTTAAAGAGGGCAAATTCCAGGTAAGCATGGGGACACTTAGCTTTAACAAACAAACAGAGGATCTTATGGGAACAGGGAATTAAGTCAATGTCAAAGCTGCCTTCATTCCACAGACCTTATGATGAGGAAAGGTCAGGCAACAAACATTTTCTTATCCGCTGGAACCAGTAATTTTTCATCATCTTCACATCCAAGATTTAATAAGCATTTGTTTTTATATGAAGACCTGAAGATCTATAGACACCTATGATCATGAGGAGGTCATAGGATTTCTACGTACCTACAAGTCCCGTGGCATAACCCTGCTGCTGCAAGACCTTGGCAAAAGTGGTTTCATTGGCAGGGAGTCCTCCTGAGCCAGCGTTCCACTGCAAAGCCCGATATGAACCACCTGAAGCCATGCCTGTATTACCAAGGATAAAGGCCACAAGTAAACCAACCACCAATACATTTATCAAGTTCAGTTTACATGGATCTGCGTCACTTTTTACACTCAAACCTTATCAAGACATCAATATAACCCAGCTGTACAAATTCATCCGGCTGGATCCAAAGGTTGCTGCTGTCACAAAAACACCATATCCTTCCTTTAAATAATACTATCACAGGAATGAGCTCCTGTCCTGGGACGCAACATAATAATGCTAAAACCATTTCATTGATGGGGAAAGTATTATAGAAGCTGTAAAAACAAATACAAAGCTTAGTCATTTAAATATGGTTCCTTGCGTCATCAGCCTGGTGAAACTTCAACAGATCCCAGTACCATCCAACCTAATGCCATGTACAGAGACAATTCTCAACAGATAATTAAATCAACAATTTAAGTAATTGTCATTATTTAAACTCAGGAAATACATCACTGAATTACACTTCACTGATAGTAGATTCAAGACAAGACAGATAGTTAACTTTCAGAACTCATAGCCACAATAGGCTATGGCCACTAGCTTAGATGGCTGTAAAAGAGGTTTAGATAAATTTATCAGCACCTGAGTATCATGCTAAAAAATGCAGTCAGGAATGAAGTACTGGTTTTTCATGTGGAACAAAACTGTACTACTTTCAGCATGCTTATTTTGTTCGATTTTGCACATTGTCTCAGCTGCACATCAAACCAAACATTCCAAATATACTCGACCTGATCTGATGGGGTATCTGCCAGTCAGAAAAGCTGCTCTGCTTGGGGTACAAAGCGAAGCTGCAGCAATGTGCTGAGTAAGCTTCACTCCTTCCTTTGCCAGCCGGTCAATATTGGGGGTGCTGAGATAGAAAGGTGATATATTAATAGAATGAAATAGCAGGAGACAAAAGAAGGAGGCAATATATGGCAATTTATCTTGACAGTCCAAGCAACCTGCATCACATAGGTGACGCTCCTTTGTAGTGACAAGCGACAGTGAAGTAAAATCAACTGGAAGATGGCCCAAAGCTGTTCAAGAAACCTTTTAGCCAGTGTCATATTCACAACAATACAACAGTAACCTGAAAATCACTTACTTGATAGTGTCGTTGCCATAGCAGCCTAGATCTCCAATCCCAAGGTCATCGGCCAACATCAGAACAATATTAGGTTTCATGTTCAGAGCTGCATTTGTCCCACGGGCATCAAGTGATATAAGTAAAGCCAACAGAGTAGTTAGATAGATTCTGAAATCAAAAATCACCAAACAATGGTTTACTTGTATGAAGCTGACAGGAGAGAGGAAAGACCTAGACCATATGACAGTACAGTGGTACCTCGGTTCTAGAACGTCTCCGTTGACAAACGTTTTGGAACACAAATGCCAAAGCCCCGGAAGTAAATGCTTCCATTTTTGAACACGCCTCAAAAGTCGAATGGCTTCTGCTGCGTATTTTTCAATTTTCTCAATTGAATGTGCAAACAGCCCTTCGTGCCTCAGTTTCTGAACCTTTTGGAACCTGAACGGTCTTTCAGAACAGATTACGTTCGAGAACTGAGGTACTACTGTATTTTTAGTATGCCAGTGATAAAACTGTTATAACGGACTACGACAGTGGAGTAAAATGGAGCGACACTTTCAGGACTGCTTTAGATGTAAATTATTATGATGCAATTTTAATTATAATATTAAATTTCTGTTCCGCCCTTCTTTCCAAAGGAGCTCAGAGTGGTAAAGCAATATGATTGAAATGAAAAGTTTAAAAAGTTAAAACATCTAAAAACAACAAGCGCAACACTGTAAGCCTAAGTATTGGATTGATCCCCACTTTACTCCCACCTCAAGTTGAGAACTATACATCTCTGCTATAACAGGTCCCCATGTGTTGGGAGAAATGTCTGTAGAGGGAAGATTGTCCTATGCATGGAGGCCTCAGGGTACCAAGAGGTACAAAAGACTCTATTAGAGATAGGCCCCATAAGGTGTGGACAGCACAGAGGCAAAGCTGTGACCATAGGGGTGGGGCTAGAGGCATGGTCCTGATTTAAGGATAATATCAGTTGCCCATGCTAGGAAGGGTAAGAACAACATTCCCCACCACCACCAATATTATTGTTGTTGAGAGCAACAATGTTGAGAGCAACAACCACCAATATTATTGTTGTTGAGAGCAAGCAACTTCCTGCTTCTTCAAATGGAGGCAATTCCCCCCCTTCCCCGCCCGCCTACTCTTGTGCCTTTAATAGCAGCTCCACAGCCTAGTATTATGCAAGTGAAGTTTTATTCAGTATGCAGGAAAATTGTTTTGTAATGGGGAAAGCTCGTTTGCTTAATTGCTGCTCGTAATGGCAAAGGTAGGAGGAAGACAGCTCTACCTGCCACGCCTTTGTAGGGTCTTGATTCCCCTCCAATTTATTTTATTTTTTAATGGAAAGTTCAGTCGTTTACATAACTGAAAACCGACGCCCTGCTTTACAAACTCCATGATTCCTTTGAAAACAAAGATCCCCCCAAGCAAGATTGCAGGAGTTTGACTTTTCTGAAGGACGGGAGTCTGAAAGGAGGAAGCAAGCGGCAGGCTTTCGCCTCCGACCCCGCTAGTCAAGCACAGGCTCAAAACCAGAGCTCGCCGACGCTGCGCTTCCAGACGCGTAGAAAGGGAACGCAGCTCCGTGGAAAGCAGCCGTCATGGTCCAAGAAAATCGGGAAAGGCACACCTTGGAAATGAAGGAGAGACCCTCTCCAGGCGCTCGCCCTCTGCTTGGCTGAGCCCACCGTGTAGCCAGGCAATCCCCATCGCGAAAGCCAGGACCCACCCGGAAGAAAGGAGCCTGGCCAAGGGGCAAGGCTTAGGCAGAGCCAGTAAAAGGCTGCAGAGAAAGCAAAAGCCTTCCTTGAAAACAGCGAGCTTCGGTAAGGGGACGAGGGAAAATTCCAAACTTTCTCAGAAAGCGTAGAGCAGGCTTTCTTTCATAGAATCATAGAGTTATATGGGATTGTGTGGGGTGTTAGGTAGTACTTCTGGTGGGGACACGTCGCTCTCCTTCTGGGATACGTGGCCCACTTTAGTCCCCACCCTGCGCTCAGCTCTCACCTAGGGCTCCTAGAAGATGTCAGCGTGCAGCCACACCCGGGGAATGGCTTCAACTGGCTGGCTAAACCAATGAAGGTAGCTGATGGGTCTCAAACCCTCATAGGGACTTCAGCACTTGGCTGACCAGACCAATTGTGGGTCCAATGGTTAAGAAGGTGGTTTCTGCACATGCTGTAGAAGGAAGTGAGGGGCAGATGGGACTCATCAGCCTGGGAAGGTAGCCCATCTAGGAGAAGGAAAACTCTGATCTTAAACCTCCACTGCCTTGCAGGATATCTTTGGGGGAAGAAAAGGCTAGGAGTAAATCCTACAGAAATCCAGAGTTCCTAGAAGGGTTGGTTGGCACCTTGTGTGCCTTCTTCCTGCAGCCATGTCAGTGCCAAACGTTTTGCTCTGCTTTCCTTTGGACTGCATTTCATTGTCTTTCATTGTCAGCCCTCTAGGTAGATAAAAGAAACTTTAGAAGGTAAATAGGCCTGTCCAAAATGATTTATGGCTTTTAGGGTTATTTTTTTAAGTCTAGCTGAAGAGTCTTTTTAAGCATGTGAAATGAATAGATACTATCTTGAAGGACCCAGGAATACCAGATGACAATATCTGAATGTTTGTGTTCATCTGTAGCTTTGATTCAATTGCCCTTTGTAGGAAGAAGGGCACTGCAGACAGTTACCACCTATTTAATCATTCAATTTATAGACAACTTCATATAACTGTGGGAATGTTAAGGAAGGTAGGAAAGGTTATATTGTTTTGATATTATCCCTCCTCACTCAAGCCAGTGAGTAAACAGCAGAGCACATTCCCTTCCAACTTACTGCAAACTAGTTGATGATTCATTAGAATCCTTTAATTAAGCAATCGAGTTTGGCTTATCCAGTCTGGATTGTTCCTGGTAAGTTTCCCCTTTATTTTCCTATTAAAATAATAACACAACACAGTCTTCTTTAAAAATAAGAATAAAGTTTTACTCACATTCAGTTCACAGCAGTAATCTGAAGGTAGGCTTTATTTTGTGGTTAAAGTGAAAAGAAGTTTGAATTATATATCAGACTTTTGGCTTGTGGGCTCCATCCTATGTGAAGGTTTGAGCCATGCACTGGCTAAGAGCCAGGAGAGTGAGAGTCCTTGAGTAAGACTACTGAGACCAAGAGATTGAAATGGCCAGCGCTTTTACCTGGTCAGCTAGGGTCACGCCCATCTACCTGGTCACACACAGGGGGAGGAAGCTCCAGAGCAGGTATGACCGGAAGTCCTCCCTGTCTGCAGCCACATTCCCATGTGTCTATTCTAGGCAACAGAAAATTGTACTTGACTGCTCTAGTAATAATACATCTCACAATAACAAATCACTTAGTAGTTTACAAATAAAAAATGGTAACACCACAAAGCTAAAAAACAAGTAAGAGGAAATACATAATGTCAGCATCACAATAAAATACAATATTGCTGTACACATCTCCAAGCAGCAAAAGACTCCAGGGGGTCCAACGCTCACCCAGGATTCCATTTCCTTGGAATGAAGGTCAAAGGAGACTGTGGTATTTTTAAGATATATGGTTTTATTTACACACACACAAACATATACACACAATGTGATCAAAGGATGGAGGGGCTCACAGCATTAACTCCCCAACAGATCTTTCTTCCTCATGAGGCTTCCAGCAAAGCCCCAGGCCAGAGCTCTTGTGTCTAGCACAGAGCAAGACATGTCTCTGTCTCTGGCTTCAAGCATCACACAAAAATAACTTGACCTGTTATTCCCCATCCCATGGCAGCTTGGCATCCAGCCAGGTGAGCTGGCTGGGAAATGGCCTACCTATTTGTCTCCATTGCAACTTATTAGGGCACATAACACAGGAAACTTTAAAATGATGTCCGTTTTATAGGTTTTCCTTTTCTTTGTCACACCAGCAGAATGGGAAGGTCCCACAGCATGGCTGCAGCCATGGTTTCCAGATATTGTGGCCAAAAGAAAGCTGCGATGGGACAGGAGTGAGGGTCCTGCGATGCTCCTCCACAGCTCTGCCTATGCGCTTTAGAACTTCATGGAACAAGGGCTCCGTGTCTGGTGAAAGAGACACAGCCTCTGATGGGTCTCGAGAGAGATCAAACAGCAGAGGAGGATCGTGTTGTCTTACATATTTCCCAGAACATTGGCAAAATATTATATTGTAACAACCTCCAGATCCCTCTGGGTGAAATATTGGTGTCATATAATGAACCTTCCACACATTTCCACCTGGTGGGAAAGAATCCACATGAATATATTATTATTATTTTAAAAAACTATTTATTGAATTTTCAAATTTTACACATTTTTCCACCCTTCCATGATTTCCTATGTTTTCCCTTAAATGCTTCATATTTTTGATTCTTAATCTCTACATTTAACCATCCTGAGTTATTCATCCTGATATTTCTAAACTATTGCTCGTATTTCAAATCCTGCTTGCATTTTCATGATACTACAATATTTCTTTAAATATTCTCTGAAATACTTCCAGTCCTCCGAAAACGTTTCTTCATTCTTATCTCTAATTTCACCTGTTAGCCTTGCCATTTCTGCATGCTACATCATTTTTATAAGCCATATAATTAACACACACAATTTCCTCAGTCTTTTATACTGGCTGCACCACACACACACACACACACACACACACAGAAACACACATTCATACCTTGTGAGGAGGGCAGATTTGTAAAGCTTCTGGTCAATTGCAGTCCTTAAATAAAAAACTTTTATGTGCCAGATTCCTGGTTATGTACCTTTGCTCTAGTTAGTATAATAGGAGTGACTAAAGGGGAAGGTAGATCCCATGTTATGGTCTGGAGGGACTAATACCTTGCTGAAGCTAATATCTGAAGACCACCTGGAATCTCATGCATGCTCCCCAAGTTTCCATGATGGAAGAAAGGCAGAATATATTTGTAAGAAAAGAAAAAGTCACTGCCCATAGAATAGCTGCCCCTTTCTCCTCTTTCTCACTCACTTGTACTGGGGTCATGGATCATGCTGAGCCCTCATTTTCTTTATGGTCCCCAAATTTCTCCTTATCAGAAGTGCCACATATCCCGCCTCTATGTTAATTCTTATGAAAGAGTTTTTACTTATTAGTGAGCCAGCCCACGCACCCCAAGTCGATGGTTTCAGCACTGAGATTGTTCCTGCCAGCATCTTGATACATATTAAAGTCACAGCCAAGTGACTTTTTTTGTAGAATGATATATCTCAGAACAATCCAGAAACAGGTTGTCCTACGTGCACCGCTTTTAAGAATGGGGGATTTGTTGCCGCATTTCATGACAGTGCCTCATTGAAGCTGCACTAAGGCTGCAATCCTAACCCCATTTCTCTGGAAGGAAGCCCCGCTGAATTAAACAGAACAATTTTTTCAATGGACATGGTTATGCTTGTGTTGTAAGCTCCCTACAATATCAGACAGTGTGATGAACATTTGCATTCAAGCTTGTAATTTTAAATGGCAGGTCAGCATGTTTACTTGCAAAATGAGCTGCTCCTGGGTACATAGTCCAGGCCACCATAATGACTGACAGTCTAGAGCCTTTTGCTGCCCAAAGATCTGCTCTTAATCACTATGCATTATCTTGACGTATGCCTTATTACGCATCTGTCCTTTTGTTATACAAGAACACAATGGGAAATAGGCGAAATGTGGGGGCCCAACGGGAGGATGCAAGTAGACCGAGAAATGTAGTAGTAGACATCTGAAATGTGGAAGTGTTGTTAAGACCAAGTACCATGCTAAACAAGAAATCCATTAATTCATGCTAGGCATATGGTAATACAGCACCCAGAAGTGACTGCTGCTTCACCATTTTGAAAAAGGACTTAATAGATTGTGAAATAGTGAAATAGGGACACATTTCTTTCTACTGTGAGACCAGTATCTTCCAAGCAACACAGCTTGTTGCAATTGGCAAATCTGTCAATTTCAGATTATCTCAGTTTTTCACCTTCCCAAACTTAAATTCAGTTCCCCCTCAGCTTGATTTTTTTAAAATTTAAAGCACGCATGAAAATTCATTGACATTTGGGTGGGAATTTCTCCTCATATACACTTTTGCCAAATATACACATTTTTTATATATATATTACTTGGCTAGAGAACTAAATTGCAAAAGTAGGTTAAGTGTGAATTTCCAATGATGGTTGTGTTTTGGGTTGCACATTGTTTCAGAAAGTGCAGATAAGGTAGGTTCACCTTTAAATGCAAACTTAATCAAATCCTTCCTCCTATACCTAATCTGTGGTCATCCTACATTATCCTTATAAACATGCTGAAAATAAAGAGGGACCTTGAGTCGCTCATTCTTCGTTGTTGATCTTTACTAATTTCCTTAGTCCGACTCTATTATTATTACACCATCTCTTCAGAAAACATAACTATTTTGCCATTGTTTTGTGAATGATTATTTTACCAGAAATTAAATAGATTTTTAATTTGAAGGAATTTGATGTACTCACTGTCCTTCTGGTGCCACCGTGCTGCATGTAAATGCATCCCACAGTAGTGAAACAGGAATTCATGCTCCGAGTGTTGAACTGATCCCTGCAGCAAAGGCATCAAATCTCGACCATCAATTATCCTGAAGGGACAAAGGGAATGACTTAGATTGCTTTCAACAAATTGCCCTTGGATTGGTTCCACATTAGTTATGCATTCGGAACTTTGAAACAATAGTAACTATGTAATTTGCTAAATGAATGTGGGTGATATCTGCTAGTTTATATCTAAAGCAATATTGTTTTCTATTTGTAACCACTATGTGAGTCCTTGGGAGCTGAGAATTTGAGATGACAAGTGTGTGTGTGTGTGAACGCGCATATGTGTATATATGTATATGTATGTGAAAAAGGTAAAGGATCCCTGGATGGTTAAGTCCAGTCAAAGGCGACTATAGGGTTGTGGCGCTCATCTTGCTTTCAGGCCGAGGGAGCCGGTGTTTGTCCACAGACAGCTTTCTGGGTCATGTGGCCAGCATGACTAAACCGCTTCCGGTGCAACAGAATGCCGTGACGGAAACCAGAGCGCACGGAAATGCCATTTACCTTCCCACTGCAGTGGTACCTATTTATCTACTTGCACTGGCGTGGTTTCAAACTGCTAGGTTGGTTGGAGCTCACCCTTGGGGGAGCTCACCCCATTGTGGGGATTCGAACCGCTGACCTTCTGATCAGCAAGCCCAAGAGGCTCAGTGGTTTAGACCACAGTGCCACCCGCTGTGTATATCTACTTATCAAGGGAAGTCGGCCACCTGTATACAATAAAACCACAAGCCATTTTGAGACACTGGTAAATATAGGAAAGTGTCTACCTTGACACATTGCATACCTGTCCTGTGGTACTGTCCCGCCAGCCAGATGAACCAACGTAGGGAAAATGTCCATTAGACTGGTTGGTTCATGAATAATCTTGCCCTCGGGTAACATTCCTGTCCATCTAAATAATCCAGGGACACGGATTCCTCCTTCCCAGCCTGCCATGGCTTTTCCACCTAGAATTACCATAGAACAACACCTCATGATTAAAACTGAACTCCCTACCATGCACTTATTTTGTTGCTCATATAGAAAACTGAATAAACTGCACTTCATTTTTTTTATGCCATTTATTTAATACTTCACCCTTCAAGGGAGAAATACACTCACAAATTTATCAAGCAAAGAAAAAGATAAAGCCACCAAAACATGACCACCAAAAAATGTAACATGCCTAGATAGCTCAGTTAAGCATGGATGGCTCAGTTGGTTAAAGTGTCGTGCTGATAATGCCAAGGTTGCAGGTTCGATCCCTGTATGGGACAGCTGCACATTCCTCCATTGCAGGGGGTTGGACTAGATGATCCTCAGGATCCCTTCCAACTCTACAATTCTATGAATCTATGAGAAAAACAGTACTCCCACTAATAATATATCTCTATCTATCTCTATCTTTATCTATCTCTATATATCTATATTTCTATCTATCTATCTATCTATCTATTTATCTATCTGGGGAAACAGAGGCATTTGTTCAGTGCTCAAGGGATGCTTTATGTTTAAGAAGGCAATCTTTCAGGACCCAAGACATGGAGGGTTTTAAAATCTTAAGTACCGGCATTTTTTTACTTGTGCCTCAAAATGGGCCTGGAATCAGGGCTGAGATATGTTCCCATTGTCCAGTCCCAAGACTGAGTCATGAGCAGAATGACTTCCATGTGCGCAGTGGACCTTCCCTTCCCTCAATGGTCTCCCCCAAATCTGTTCCAGAGGGTTGGGTATACCCCCAGAGCTGATTCACAGGAGAAGGGAAGGGATGTTCCATTGCAGGGATGTAGCAAGGGGATGTGGTGGGTGCTGTCCACCCTGGGTGTCATCACTGAGGGGGGTGACAGAATGGTGGGTGGCACTCACCACAGGGCCTGCAGCTCGCCCTAGCCGCGCGTCTCTCCTGGGAGTGATGCAGTGGCTTGAGTGCCCACAGGCTCCGTGCTGCCCCAAACGGTACACCCGCTGCCTCCCCCTAGCTGTAGGGTGGCTGAGTGGGAGGAGGCAGGCGGACATCTTGGAGGCCCCATGGTGCCGCTGTGGGCTGCTGACCCCCCATGGGTGGCTGGCCCCGCCTTCGGGCGCGCCGCCCCAGGCGCCCGATCGGCTTGCTCTGCTGCTGTTCCATTGGACTCAGAATTCTCACCTTTGTAGATGCCATTCCAACCACCTCGCGGAGCATTTCCTTCTCTTGCTTCCAAGTGGCCACCATGGTCAGAAGTAAAATAGGTCAGTGTGCTGTTTTTCAAATTTTCCTTGTCAAGCTTATCCAAAATCCTTCCTATAAAGAATCCACAGTGACATAGAGGATCAGGGTTTGGATTGCTCTGCTCATCCGTTTTATATTCTTAAAAAAAAAAGGTTGACTTACCTACCATCCAGTCCATCTCTTCGACATTGTCACCATACAATCCATGCCTGCTTTTTCCCCTGAACCTTTCTGTTGTTACCACTGGTGTGTGGACATGTAAAAAAGAAACAAAGAGGAAGAACGGCCCTTGCTTGTTCCTACAGAAACGACAACAACAAATTATTGTTTAGAAAAACAAATTTATATATAGTTTTCTGATACTTCTGTTAGTGCCTTGTGAATAATCTTTACTGAGGGAGTAATTAAATAAGGGATAGGGAAGCTGTGGTGTGTGTGGCCCTCTAAACCTTTCTCTCTTCCTCCTGGGGATGTTATGAATCCCATAATACCAACCAAGAGGGGCTGTCAAGATCTGTCAGAGGGGGAGGAGGAGTCTGATGAGAGGGTATGTGGTGGGCCTGAGCAGCGTGCTGGGAGAGGACCTTGCCCCACTGCCAGATATCCCATAAGCCAGAGCCACCCCTGACCCCTCCTCCTCTGCTTGACATTTCCAATTAGCAGGGCTATCTAAGTCTCAGGCAAAGAGGAAGTTGGAGGAGCTGAACCTTTGCTGTCAGCTGTGCCAGCGTGAACAGACTGCGCTCCTTCAGAGAAGCACTCATTTGCAAGCACAATCCTAGAATTATGCTTACACACCTATGGTCTACACCCTATAACCTGTAGACCAAGCTAAAGCATCGATTGTGGGCTGATTCCTTGAAACCTTTGGTTTCTGCCAAGCAGAGAATTGGCTTTATGAGTCTGAGAGTGGGAGCCAGAATAGGGACAATTACAGACCACACCCTTCACCAGCAATGCTTTTCACCCACCTGTGTATTTATACTTGGCTAGAATTTGAACTCTAATAATGCATCTTGCTTGCCCCAATGGAGGATAGAGGGTGGTGTGTCTCTCTGGGTATAGAAACACGCCTACTGTACAAAGTGCATTCGTTGCTATAACCACTTTTGCTTCTGGTTCTGCCCACCCATAGAATATGGTTGCTGGAAGGTTGTCTACCAGGAGTGCCAACTTGGCCCCGTGACTGTGAATGTCCAGGGCCGTGGGTGCTGGAGAATTTGTGGGTGCTTGGGCACCCAGGGCCCCAGGGAGTTGGCACCTATGCTGTCTACAAGGTCTACAGGCTGTAAAAAGTTTCTCACTTCTGCATTAAACTATAACTGATGGCATGAAATACCCCAGTAAGGCTCATTGGGTTCTATAAAATTATGGGAAGATAATTCTCTTTGCAGATGTACAATTACAGTGAAACATCTTTCTGACAGATGAAGCAATTGATTGTGTAGCTTTTGCTTACTATTCTAAGTCTTTTGTGTAACCAAAATGCCTCAAGAATCCCACAACTGGAGATGTGAGGTAGAGTAGCCATTTTGCTGACTGAAAAATAATAAGAGACATCTTCTAAAGACCTTGTTGCTCCTGCCTCTATTGAATATCATTACATTCATTACAATCAGACTTTTTAAAAACAAACAAACGCAATGGATGCTTCATTTCCTCTCACACATTTGTAATCCCATGTAATTCATACAAGGAATCTCGTTTTACCTTTCAATAAAGGAAATGGCTTCCCTCAGCACCAGGGATGCAGCTCTCTCTACCTTCATTGGTTGCTCTGTAATTTCATAGTTTCTCATTACAATGCAGTCCCAGTATCTTATGAATCCATAGCTTGAGAACCAGGAAATAAAGAAGGCGCAACCAAACAAAGCCAGGGAGAAAATTGTTTTCCAACTGAGGGGCAGCAGATGAGTGAGCTTTGCTGCCATAAGTGTAAGTACAGCGAGGGCAATCAACAGAGTATAGGACCAAAGCTTGATTCGTTGGGGCATATCCTTCTCTGGAGGGTATGTAATTTGGCAATCACCCATCAGTGAAAATGGCATGCCATAAAAATAGTCAAATCCATGATTTAAGGGGTGATGGCAGAAGTCGTCACGGGTTTGACAGTTCATACCTAGATGCCACTTCCCTGAAAAACAGAATTCGGGAGGGAAAGTTACATTTTTGCCAACCAATGCATGCTAAGCAGACGTATATGGACAAGTTGGCTTCCAAATTGTCCAACTCATTTCATACATTAAAACAGTCCTCACCCTTGAAACGTTCTTGAACTACAACTCCCACCATCCCTGACCACCAGCCATACTGGCTAGGAATGATGGGAGTTGTAGTACAACAACATCGAGGGACCCGAGGTTGAGAAAGACCGCATTAAAATGTTTTTCCTTGCGAGAATTAGTGGCATATATCCTGGAGAAAAATGTTCAAGATTTCCTTTTGCATTTTATTACACATGTGTTATTATTTATTTACAGACTGGCTTCCAGCAGGTTCATCAGTTATAAAGATAATAAAACAGCAGGAATATAGAATCAATTAATAAAACTGATGATTGAAAACTGATAATTGATAAAATTGATAATAAAATCAAGAAATAATAACAACAGCCATTATTCAGTGGGTACACAAAATTATCCATTATATTTATTATGTATTCTGTGGTTTTATATCTTGATTTTTATTCTGTGAACCGTCCTGAGACCCCCAGGTATAGGGCAGTATATAAATTCAATATTATTATTATTATTAGTAGTAAGAAGAAGAAGAAGAAGAAGAAACAAAAAAGTTCTTCCCAGAAGGACGTGGTGATGGGGACTACTGCTGTGCCCCATGACCTTCTATGACATTTGTACATTCTTTCACCTAAATGCTGCGCACAAGTTTTCTTACCTATTAAGCCAGTGGTGTAGCCTTTGTTCTGCAATATCTTGGCAAAAGTAGTTTCATTCTGAGGAAGCCCACCAGAACCAGCAAGCCAGCTAATGACACGGAAACGATCCCTTTCATCCAAACCTGAGATAAAGTGATCATATATAACATAGCCAGTGATATGGCTGTGAACTTCAGTCAGTTGTCCGCATACAGTTCTAATGGCAGATTAAGATGTCCCTCTCCTTATCTTAATCAATGGACATCAGATTAAAAACAAACCAGATCTTTGTGAAGCCTGCATAGCAAAGCCCTCCCTCTCTTAGCCTTCCCATCGAGATCCAATACCTCGGTACAACTGTAAAGAATATTTCCACAATTGTCTCCAAGGGCAATTATTTCTACTTAAGACTAGATGGTGCCTTTTGACAACACCGCACACCTGATCTTACGGGGTATCGGCCAGTCAGAAAAGCGGCTCTGCTTGGGGAACAAACAGGGGCTGCTGAAATGTGCTGAGTGAGTTTCACACCTTCTTCTGCTAGCCGATCGATATTGGGAGTCCTAAGGAAAACAACAATAACAGGGCAATATATTTGAGCTGAGTAATCATAAAGCAAACAGAGAATGTCTAGGAACTGAATGCCTTGACGAAGTCTAAGTTACATAACTAAAGGCACCTCCAGACTGTCGTGTTTTTGTGAGAAGGATTCAAGCGCATACTGGAAATTTAGGTTCCAGTAAATGGGTCGAAGTCCTGCCAACCTAGCACAACAAATGCATTCAAACGACAGCATGACTTGGTGATTAGCACATAAATGGGAAAATGAGCAGAAAGGTGTGGAATGAACGAACAGTTAGTGGAAATAATAGGATCATACAATTGTAGAGTTGGAAGGGACCCCAAGGACCATATAGTCTGCCCCCTGCAATGCAGGAATATTTTGCCCAATGTGAGGCTCAAACCCATGACCCTGAGATGAAGAGTCTTATGCTCTACCAGCTGAGCTATGTCAGCATATATAATACATATAAGCAATTCAGGCTGAATGCAAATGGATGTACAGTGGTACCTCAGTTTACATACACTTCAGGTTACATACGCTTCAGGTTACAGACTCCGCTAACCCAGAAATAGTGCTTCAGGTTAAGAACTTTGCTTCAGGATGAGAACAGAAATTGGGCTCCGGTGGTGCGAAGGCAGCAGGAGGCCCCATTAGCTAAAGTGGTGCTTCAGGTTAAGAATAGTTTCAGGTTAAGTATGGACCTCCGGAACGAATTAAGTATTTAACCTGAGGTACCACTGTATAACCTCTCCATAAACAAATCATATTAAACACACAATAAAGACCAAAGATAGTCTAACCTCTATGTAAGCTTTCTACCTAGTAAGCCAATTAAAAGTGTCATTGTAGCAGCCTCAACACACACACACACACACACACACACACACACACACATCTTTTTTTTATACACACACACACACAAATAAATAAAATATTTTCCTAGACCAACCTTAGGTAACTGAATAATATACTCTGGCTTCTCCTCAGATCGTATAAATCTTAGGTAACTGAATAACAGCCAACTAGCACAGATACTTAGTACTTCACATGTAACCCTTGACTTTACCTCCGCCAATGCTTACATTGTATCTTAAGCTGTTTTAAACTGTTTTAAATATTCTGCAATATTGTATTTTAATATCCACATTGTGTTTTAATTGTTGCAACCTGCTCTGGGACCTTAGGGTGAAGGGATCGTAATAAACTGCAATAATAATAATAATAATAATAATAATACCAAGCCTTGTTCTATTAAGCACATTTTAAAAGGTGATTTCCCCACAGTTTATATAAGTCAATGTGGTGTAGTGGTTGGATGAGGACCTGATTGACCTGAGTTCAAATCCACATTCAGTCGTGACATGAATTTCACTGGGTGACCGTGGGCTGGCTACTACAGTAACTCTGAGCCTAACTTACCACATAGGATTGTTAGGATAATATGGATTGGTGTAGGGAGCCATGTATGTCACCTTGAGCTTCTTAGAATAAAGGTAGGATGTAATGAATGAATGAATGAATGAATGAATGAATCAAATTTTTATTTCACCCTTCATCTGCAGATCATAGGGTTGCTTACAATATAAAAACACAAAAACACATACTACTATAACAAACAAAAACACCCCACACAGTTTAAAAGGCAATAGATTTATTATTATTTATTAAATACAATGAGAAATAGATAAATAAAATTAGTGCCTGGCACTAGCACCTGACATTTAATATCATGCATATTTATAGAATGTGTCGTGGAAGGCTATCACACATCTGCATAAGCCTTTACCTGATTGTATCATTTCCATAGCAGCCGAGATCCCCAATGCCAAAGTCATCAGCCAGGAAGATGAGAAAGTTGGGCTTATAGCTGACTGAAGCTTGCAGTTCCAGTGAATTTAGCAATAGCACCAAAGCTAGAGGTGAGCATGGATGTCTCCTGGAAAGATGAAAGATGATTAACTGTTATGGGTGTGTTGTACTATCTTAACTCATCCTATTCACACTCCATAGTAACTTTCCTCATGAAAGGCTGCAAAGGAACATGTAGGTTCTAAGAGAGTGAAAATATTTTAATATGGCTTTTTTAAAAAAGGAACTTTAATTTTGCGTATTCATCCTATAGATTCATCTATTAGCTAATTTCACCATTAAGCAGCGTGAAACCACAGAGGGCAGCAGTATGATTAGCTGGGCAATAGGTAGCTGTCTGAGAAAAATGTCACCATGCAGCCCTGCAAGGGCATGAACCTGAAATAAAATGCAAACCATAATGTTCCTCTGAACACTGACCGCCAGTTTTATTATATGTGATGTACACATGTGTAGCATCTTGCTCCTACGGGTGCGTGACCAACAGACAAGTTACTGCCTTCAAGCAGCTCCCATTAAAAACTGCCAAGTTGGGTTTTTTGTTTCATATTACTCAAGAATATCCATTTGACACACCATAAAGCATATTGTTGTAGTTTCCATATGCTTTGCTTTCTAATACAAGATTATTATTTTTTGCACTGGTTTCCTTATTAATCAACAGGTGGATTATTATGAATGAAAGTTCATTATTATGAATGAAAGTTTATTTAAGCCATGTTAAAGTTATACACGGGACGCGGGTGGCGCTGTGGGTTAAACCACAGAGCCTAGGACTTGCTGATCAGAAGGTCGGTGGTTCGAATCCCCGTGATGGGGTGAGCTCCCGTTGCTCAGTCCCTGCTCCTGCCAACCTAGCAGTTCGAAAGCACGTCAAAGTGCAAGTAGTACCGCTCTGGCGGGAAGGTAAACGGCGTTTCCGTGCCCTGCTCTGGTTCGCCAGAAGCGGCTTAGTCATGCTGGCCACATGACCTGGAAGCTGTACACCGGCTCCCTCGGCCAATAAAGCGAGATGAGTGCCGCAACCCCAGAGTCAGTCACGACTGGACCTAACAGTCAGGGGTCCCTTTACCTTTACCTAAAGTCATACAACAAAATACAGCAATTATGGAGAAGCACACTGCTTTCCCATTGCATTAATAAGCTATTGGAATTTTTTTTTTAAAAAAACAACAACATATAACGAAACACCATCTAATTCTAGTAATGTGCTACATACCACATGACCTCTTTCAGGGATTGCCACGTTGTAGATATACTGCAATGAAGAATCTAAAAAAGAAAAGAGAACACAACACCAATACTAGAGAAGATCTGGATAATGACAATATATAGATGTTAAATCTTTCTATATTCATTTAAAAGGAAGAAAAGAGCATACTGAAGGAGGCATACAAACTTCTGTTCTATGCAATAAGATGGGGAACAGAGTTCTTCTTCTTCTTTATACCTTCTTATAACTACCTTCTTATGCCATGAGGGGACGGGCTTATTACTGTGCTGTTCCACTTCATTTTTGTTGTGGTAAAACAACATTTCTTTCAGTGACATGATTGGAGACTTGCCTTTTTCATTTCTTTTTTAAGTGCATGCAGCTCAGTGTTATGCTGCAAAGAATGTTCTTTCCTGCGGGGAGACACTTCCAGTGCTTTCAGCCAGTCACGTTTAAGGGCATGCAAAGGTTTACAGTCATACCTCGGGTTACAGCCGCTTCAGGTTGCGTTTTTTCGGGTTGCGGATCGCCACAACCCGGAAGTACCAGAATGGGTTACTTCCAGGTTTCAGCAGTCGTGCATGCGCAGAAGCACTAAATTGTGCTTTGCGCATGCGCAGAAGCGCCAAAACGCTGCAGGTTGTGAACGTCCAGCACAGATCACGTTCACAAACCGAGCGTCCACTGTACTCAACTTTTGCAAGCCTCCAAAGGAAGGTTAAGTTTCTTGTTCTGCACACCAAGTATCGTAGATATGGGGGCTTTCATGTAAAAAATAATTGGTGGTTCTATCAGATTTTTTGCTGTTGCAAAACTGCATCTCCTCCTGAGGCAGTTTATCTAAAACACCCCCACCCACCCACCCACATAGCAATCATAAACCCAATGAACTCTGAGATTTCCACTAAACACGCCTAGGATTGCACTGGTAAGCACTGAAGTCTGCTTGAATCTTTGCTTCTATGCTGAGATTCCTGTCCCTTAAGTGTCCTTTCAGCTCTACAATTCTTCAATTCTATGACTTGTTTCAAGAGTGCAAACATCCCCTTCCTGCAATTAGTTTCTTAATGCGGTTCAGAACAGTGCAACAGTATACATTATTTCTAACAATATAGTTTACTGGCACCTGATGTCTCATGTTGCTGTGAATCTTAAACATTGTATTGTGAAACACTGTTCTGGTTCACTCTAACACTGGGAGCCACTGTCTTTTCTTATCTTATGGCTACTACATGAAAAGCTGCCTGAAAACTGGTACAGACATGGAGTCTCCCTAGACAGCTATGGATGGGAAGCAGCTCTCCCTTTCTATGGCAGTCACACAGGTAGTCACCACACTTGTGGACAGAAAAGTGTCCATAGGTTTCTTATTATTTGGGAATAGTTATTTGAATAGTAGTCTTGACTGACAGATCTCAGTCAAACTACCTGTGGGCTTGTGACTGATTTGCACTGGCTTTCAACTGGACCAAGTTCAATGTAGTGGTTCTAACATATAAGACCCTATGCATCTCAGTATTAGACTGCCTATCCCTTATATACCTCATAGGTCACTGCAGATTCTCACCCAAGTCCTTAAAATATCAGAAGCCCACTCTCTAGTAACTTTCTGTAAGGCTGCCCCTTTTTTGTGGAACAGCATAAGGCAGAGCATTCCTATCTGTACTTTCTGAAAGCAACAAAACATTTACAGGTGCTTTAAATTCATGGTGTGCATGCAGCCAGAGTGAAACAGAAGGAATAAAACACTAACCATTACCTTTTCCAGAGAAAAGGAGAAGTAGCGGCTTTCGTGTGGTTCCAAGCAAGCAACCTGGGGCCCTTGGAAGTGGCTTAAAACTAGAAAAGTTCTCCTCAGAAGAGCACACGAGGCTTGTATTCCCTTAAGGTTCCTAACCAAACATAGGGAAGATGTGGGGAAATGGGGGTGGTTAGTGAAAGGGATGGGATCAAGGTAGGCAAGTTGAAGGAGGTCTGCTCTCAAAGGCATCCATGGGGTCAAGAAGGCTTGAAAGCAAGGAATGTTCAGAATCTCTACCATACCCTCGGGAGAAAGATTAACAAACTTGACTCTGCACAGCTACAAGACATGAGCTGGTGTTTACACAAAGGATTATTACATTTAGGACAATCAAAGAAACTGTCTACTTTCCAGAAAATGCAAATACAGTGGTACCTTGGGTTAAGAACTTAATTCGTTCTGGAGGTCCATTCTTAACCTGAAACTGTTCTTAACCTGAGGTACCACTTTAGCTAATGCGGCCTCCCACTGCTGCCATGCCACCGGTGTGTGATTTCTGTTCTCATCTTGAGGTAAAGTTCTTAACCCGAGGTACTATTTCTGGGTTAGCGGATTCTGTAACCTGAAGTGTCTGTAACCTGAAGCATCTGTAACCTGAGGTACCACTGTAGTGCATTGACTAAGATATCAGTAGACCTTGCCATTTGGTAGGAAACACTTTATTCTTTGCCAGAGTTAATTAATAACCAAATAGAACAGTTTACTTGTGTTAAATGTGGCAATGTTTCCAGTTGTTAATTTGGCATTTGTACACAATTGGGGCTCTTTCTCAGTCCCTGGAAAATAGGGACTGGTAATAGGAGGGTCTGGTAATAGCTACACAGACTCACTGTCACTCTCCGTCCTCTCTCCATGAAAGAAGAAGGCACTTGCAGATTTGAATGGCATATTCTAGGTTCGCAAAACACATGAAGGACCACGTTTTGCTTGTGGGTTTTCCCACCCCTGGTTTTGGTCTTGATGGAATTTTACTCAGCCACCACTAGAGGCTGTCCACAAACCCCAGCAGCTCCTGACAGGTCTATGATTTGTCTCTGGTGTTCAGGAACTTGAAGAAGAATAGATAACCCCACCAGAAAGGCCAGCAGAAAGTGCATGCAAGTCTTAGATGTTTTTTCCACAACAACAATAAAAAATTGCACGGAAGAGAATGCTGCCCACTCAAAGTAAGTCAAAACACTGAAATGCCACCCACTTTACTGAGTGTTGTCCACAACATAGGGCAATGCAAAAAGAAAACAAGCTAAACACACAAATTTAATGGAATTCATAGCAATAGCTCAATGCAGTGTTTGCTCCCCCCTTTAATGCATAGTATATTGAATTATACATACCAATTGTGCAACAGTTGTATTGCTAGCTATGAGGTTCTCACTATGACCCCCTATGATTTGACACATCTACAGCCCAGACTTGCCCTTCTTCAGTCAGATGTAAGATCTATTGTGTTCAGTGGGTGAGTGTGTATATGGCTGAAGTCGTAATTTCTTTTTCCAATTCCCCAGACTTGTCAAAGAGAATCATATTGTTCTAGGCAGTGTTTATGGATATGTTCCAACCCATCATGCTTTGCGTGACAGAGCCTTTCACAACTGCCTTACTCACAGGACCAGCAGGGCTACACCTGCTAATTTCAAAATTACAGGTTGGTGCATAGTCCCAGAATAGCGAGAGGACATCTAAAATAGCTTTGCATTGCTTGGGAGCTTTAAATGTAGTTTGCTGTGTACAAGCAAAGAGAGGAAGCTGACCTCCTGAGAGATGTTATCGAAAATAAGCTGTTTTGAACTCAGTGTGCCGACGTGCTCTTGAGCGCCAGCCGTAGCAGTTGCATAGTTTCCAACAGGAAAAAGATTTCTAGTATTTGATCACAGCAAGATGTCTTATACAGTACCTGGTGAAGTCTCCAGGAAGCCAGAGAGGCTACAGCAGCAGCTGCAGCACTGCTTGCAGGGAGTTTAGATTCAGGGCAGGCTTCATTCCCAGCTTTTCATCAAGGCTTAACCCCAGCCACAAGTGGCACATCTTTCATCAGTCTCTGCCGGAGGCTATAAAGGAAGTCATCATATCTGTCCCATCTGCTCATGCGCACTCTCTGAACAGTTCCCACTGGAAGAAACGCCGCTTTCTAGATCGACAACTAAGCTGAAAACTTCTCAGGCTGCTCTCTGCCTGCCAGTCGCACTCTGCAGCTCTCCCCAGTCTGCCGCCCTTTGATATCAGCACAGTGTTAACATTCAGTTGCACATGTGGGACTGATCAGAGAACAGTAGGGCCTTTCAGGAGAGACCTGGCTCAGATGATTGAAGAGGGACTCCCTGGTTTCTGGGAAATGGTTGCGGAATGCTCTCACTCTAAATTCTTACTGAAACAGACCAATCCCCATTCCTAGAAGAGCCCCCCCCCGCCAAAGCTACTCTATAGGAATCTAAAGTAAGCAATCTGGGGAAACCCCTGCAGGGGTTGCATAAAGGAGGACCTGTTACAAATGTCAGGCAGTTCATTTTCGAAAATAACTTTTGAATGATCCTTGCAGCCTATGACTGTAGTGTCATGAATTTCTTTCCAATGGTTTTCTTTGATGGTGGTGTAAAACCCTTTGAATAAGACAAAGAACACCCCCCTGCAACAGCCAGAATATCCTCCACTCTCTCTTGCCTATGTGCATGCATGAGAGCACATGACCATACACCCATTCTTCCTCCTTCTCTCCTTTCCTCAGCCCCACCCCCCAGGTACACCTTTTTACAAATGGAAGCTTTTAAAAACCTTAACTGCTGGGCTGGGGGCAAGATCAAGGAGGGGAGGCTTGATGAGAAAGCCTGTAAGTCACTTGAGAGCACAAAACTTGGATTATAAAATAAAATATTACTTTTAATGTGCTTTTGGAGCTACATTAATTCCCTGATCTTTTCACAGAAGATGCAAGCTGCAGAACTGATGAGGGGCAATTCATGCAGCTCAGCTCACATCATGGGGCAATATGCCTTGTTTCGAATGTCTAGGACATGGTGCAACATGCCAATTTTGCTGAGTAGCAGTAATTGAGGTTATCAGGGCTTCCCCCCCTAGAAAAATAGGTGCTGGTACTCACCATGATATAAGACAGAGAGAAGATACTCTGAAGTCAACATACTTCAGAGGGTGAAATCGGGGGGGACGGGACTAGGGGGCACATTGGAAGATGGCCGACAATACCATCTCTCCGACCCACACGGGGTAATTAAGAGGCTGTTATGGGAGTAGGCAGCCTCCCTTGTTGTGCCCTTGCCTGCTGTGCCCATAAATCACCCCTTAATTCGAAAGAAGGGGGTGAGGGCCCTAGGCAGAATGCCCCCATGTGGACATCGGCTCTCCTGCACGCTGTCTCTGATCGCGCACTAGTTGCAGCAATTTGGAATAATTAATTACAAAAGAAGCAAATGCACATATTTCAAGTGAAACAGGGGAGTGAAGTCTGCTAATTTAAGTGACCTCTGCGAAAGAAGATGACGGGCTGGAGAAACAGGAATATTTTACGATGAAGATACACCAAAGGCGGGGTATGTTGACAACGGGGCTGAATGGGGGGGAAAACTTTTTTTACTTTCCTTCTATGTGATTTACAAGAACCCCTCCTCATTAGAACCATCGGTTGAACTGACCCAAGCAGGATGATTAAGGTCTGTGTGGAGATAAACTTTAACCAAAAGTATGCTTTATGGAGACCGAAAAGCAATAAGAGCTTTTGGGAATGGCACAGCAATTAATTCGGAGTCGCCATCTTGCCAAAGGATTTATAGCTGGGAGGAGGAACGGATTTGTTTTCAGACTGCATTCCTAGTGAATCTCCTCAGAGGTTTTGAGAAAGGAGGCAGATTGGTGAAGATTAATGATGCTAAGACTGTTTTGATGTATGGAAGTGATGTTATATGGAAAACGTCTGGATATGGCTACTGGATTAAAAAAAAATATATCCACGCAGGATTACAAACTGTTCTAACCAGCTTGCGGAGACTATCAGAGGTCACAAAGAAAAAGGAAAAATATATGAAAATACCGACAAGAGATGTGGAAAAATAATAAGAAAGGACTGGATAGTACTGTGAACATCATAAGGTTAGATTTGTGGACATTAAAACAGCAGTAAGAAGCAAGAAGTTGATTGGATCCCTTCGGAACTTGAAATATGGGTACCCCCAACAAAAATTCGGCTGTGTAATTTGGAATTTATGTAATTTGGTTTGATTTGATGTGATTGGTCGGTTAATAAAAAATTATTCTTAAAAAAGAAATCGGTTCCACTTCTGAATGGAATTGCGCTCAGGCCACCAGGTCCCACCCGTACCTCAGCGTGGGGCGGGGTAGTGCCCTGCGTCACACTGAGGGTGCCCCAGCCATGCCATTTGCCAGGTGACCAATCAGGGTGCTGTGGGGGCATGGCCAGGGCCAATTTAAATGTGGCGTGACTCTGGGAGCTCCTCTTACAGCCTTGCACCGCAGATCTCCCGCCCACCCACCTTCTTCTAGATAGGGTCACTGGTCTTGCCATGGACTTTGGTTGGTCGCTGTTGAGGGGCCTGGTAGGACTTTTTCCACATGGCAAATTGGCACGAGCCACTTGGTTTTCGCCTACCTCATAGCAATCATCACAACTTTGTAAGGTTTGGTAGTTAGGCACTGGAATAGCGATGTGTGGGGAAAGGGAGGTGCAGCCACCACCTGCCCCTCCATGCGTAAGGAAATTCCATTAAAGGAATCTGGCTGTGTGGATCTTGTCTGAAGCCCAGGGAGGGGCTAGGGCCATGCCACGACCCCAGCGGGAACCCAGGGGGGCTCGAGTCGACCCTCATTGGCAGGGCTCCCCCTACTGGTGGTACCCTTCCAGACTTCCTGCAAGGTGGGCAGGAGTCAGATATAGTCTGTTGATGCCAATGCCTAAGCAAATACAGTGGTACCTCGGGTTACATACACTTCAGGTTACATAAGCTTCAGGTTACAGACTCCACTAACCCAGAAATAGTACCTCGGGTTAAGAACTTTGCTTCAGGATGAGAACAGAAATAGTGCTCCGGCGGCGCTGCAGCAGCAGGAGACCCCATTAGCTAAAGTGGTACCTCAGGTTAAGAACAGTTTCAGGTTAAGAAAGGACCTCTGGAATGAATTAAATACTTAACCCAAGGTACCACTGTACCGCTCACATTCTGTAACCAATAAAGTTGTGGCCTAAATTTTGCCCATTAACATTAACCTAAATTCTGTGTCCTTGTGTCTTTATTCTTTTGGGGGTGGCTTGGGGGGTCTTGAAGAGCAACCGGATTTGTTCACTGTAGATCAAGCTACATTTAATCTTGTTGATGTCTCTGGTATCTTCTCTCTCATATAATGGGTGTCAGCTTACATTATGGATGTATGTTTTGTGCTATTTTATTAATACTATTGCTACAAGTTTGCCATGGCCTTTCGCTAGAGCAATAGACTCATAAACTTTAAAGTAATGAGACAACTCCATTGCCTTCAATGTTTTGAAATATGGCCTCTTTGTGGTATGTACCTTTGACTGGTTCTCAGAGTGGTTTAACAGCCAACTCCTCTTCCCAGTGAACTCTGGGAACTGTAACACTGAAGAAAACAGGGGTTTCCTAACAACTCTCAGCACCCTCAACAAACTACTGTTCCTGGGATTCTTTGGGGGAAGCAATGCCTGTTTAAAGTGGTATGATCCTGATTTAAATGTAAAGTGCAGATAGGACCTGAGATGCATGAAACAGCAGAGCTCTCCCGCTAGAAGCTTAAATGAGTTTAGCTACACAAGGCCTGTGGGCTGAGACACACTAACCTCATAAATTCCACCCAGAAATTCCACAGATAGTTAAAACTGTCACCGTATATTTAATTATAGAAAATAATGCCCATAACCATTTGCCATTTCATACAGAATACTAAAATAAGAGCTCTAATACCCTAACCTAGCTCACTCTCTATCCTCTAATAAATTACCTGAGAAAACAAGATTTGATCTTTTATTATTAAAGGAACTGTGAAAAGATCAAAATAACCACTAGAGGGTGCAAGTATCTCTTTTTTAAAAAAGAAAGAAGGAAGAAAAAGTGGTGCATAAAGATAGATGAGGAGGAGAGATGCTGGAGGAATTTGTTATTTGTGTATTCCAAGATAAACTAACCTTATCCATACCTTCCAGCTATTTGGGACTTCTTGATATATCCACTGCCTTTCTCATGTCCCAATTATTCCAAGACAATTCCCAGCTCAGAATATATTTTGAATTGCGTATTTTAAGAGAAGTATAATTACACTAAAAAAGTTAGTGCAGATTTTTTTTTTTTAAGTAGAAATTGGCTAGCTTACTCATCCCTAGTAAGGGGACAGCCTTGAATCCCACTTTGCGTCAAACCTCAGCCTGTTCATTGTAGATCACACCATAGGTGCCAACTCCCTGGGGCCCTGGGTGCCCCAGCACCCACAAAATTCCCCATGAAAGGGCCAGATACCCACAAATTTTGGTGCCAGGGCCATGCACACTGCATAGCACCCATGGTCCCGGGCACCCACAGTCGTGGGGCCAAGTTGGCACCCCTGGCTCACGCAAAAGGACAGAGAAGGACAGACAAACACCTATTGACATTTTGAATATACAGTGGTACCTTGGGTTAAGTACTTACTTCGTTCCAGAGGTCCATTCTTAACCTGAAACTGTTCTTAACCTGAAGCACCACTTTAGCTAATGGGGCCTCCCACTGCCGCCGTGCCGCCGGAGCACGATTTCTGTTCTCATCCTGAAGCAAAGTTCTTAACCTGAGGTACTATTTCTGGGTTAGCGGAGTCTGTAACCTGAAGTGTATGTAACCCGAGGTACCACTGTACTGCCATAAATCAAAGAGATATACAAGACTTAGGAGTAAATCACGTATTGCATATATTTATTCTTATCATCATTATCATCATCACCACCACCATCATTATCCCACTGCCTTGAGGGATATCTTCAGGAGAAAACAAGAGTAAGGAGCAAATAAACCCTACGCAAATCTGGAGTGGAGTCCCTAAGACAGTTGGATGATGTCTTGTACACAAGGGCAGAAAAAGGGGGTGCGGTGGGTACAGGCCGCCCCAGGTGTCAGCACTGAGGGGGGTGACAAAATGGCAGGCGGCACTCACCGTGGGGCCTGCAGTGCACCCGAGCCACATGTCTCTCCTGGGAGAGA